CTGGATTTGGTTCAGGCAAAGGCCGCCCACGGATGTGGGGTGCAAGGCCAGATCCTGAGCTTTGTGCCTCTTGTTGTTGCTGCTGTCCTTCGGGATCAAGCGGAGGAAGATCTCGGGACGATTGGCCAGCAGGTCTTGCCCTCTCGATTCCTGGCGGAGGAGGTTTTACGGGCTTGAGATTAGCTGGATTAGGGGGAACTGGCCTATTAGGTCTTGGGGGAATTACCACAGGTGCAGCAGGTGCAGCAGGTGCGGCAGATGCCACAGGTGGATGCTTCCACGGCAGATTCTTCTTAGGCTCTGGAGCTGGTGGTAGAGGTTCTGGCCTTTGAGGCGTGTCGGGGACAGCAGCCCCCTTTGCACGACCTGGCACTGGAACGGAACTAGCTCTTTTGCGAGACTTAGATGAAATCTTATTTGAAATTGGTACTTCCCTTCCCCTATTAGTTTTGGCAGCAACTGCGGGCGCAGTCTCGGCTGAGGGTGCTCTTGACCTGGATCGCGCAACGGGAGAGCCGGCTGGCTCTGATGCAGTCTCTGTCGCGACACGGGCTGTGTCAGCGACCCCATTTCCAGCACTTTGCAAAGACTGCCTCCAGGGAGGATAAGCTGAACTACTAGAACTGCTTAATGGGGGAACAGTCAAAGATGGCACTGTAGGGGCTGCAGGTGGTGTTGGTGCAGCAGAAACTGGATCTTTTCGGGGCTGTGCCGGCTTATCACGTTGGATATGAGAGGTTCTTATGTTAGGGCGTTGTCTCTTTGGTGGAGACTCAATTGGACGGGCAGGGGTGCGCTCAACGAAGCCAGCGTCAAACGGTTCTTGCTGGCCGACAAATGCCTGACCTGAGGATACAAACCTGGCGGTTCGAGTCTCAGCAGTTTCAGAGCCCTCAGATTCGGTCTCGGGGTTGTTGGTGGTAATGTTATAGACACTATTGGGGTCTAAATTACTTGAACCAAGAACTGTCCGATGGGATCTAAGTGCAGGATCTCGCCACAACGAGTCGGGAAGCTCGTGTGGGTTGACCCCAAGCTCTGGCGCCTCAGCGTGAGGAATGATAAAAGGCAAAGTCTGTGGCGCGTACGCGATCGGGGGATCAGCGACCCTAGCCCAGGTGCCAGCGGAGTCAATTCTAATTTCGGGGTAACCGTGCACTTGGGGTCTTAAAGCAAGAGGTCTTCTAGAAACACCGGTTATGGCTCGGGCTCTATAAAGTTCTTGATTAAGTTCAATTCGTTCACGGGTTTCCCTTGGGACTAGATTGACAGGCAATGGCGGATTGGACCTAGTTCTTTTAGGCCTACGACGGCGCGTGGAAACCTCACGGCCGTGCTCTGTTGTTGTGAAGTCAGGGAATTCGGGTTCAGCTTCGGCCTCAACCTCAACTTCAACCACTTCGTCCTCCTCTAAAACTTCCTCTTCCTCCGCCTCTTCCGCAACCCACTCCTGCTCCCCTTGCGGTGGATCGTTGGGATCCGCTGGAGCAACCTCTTCTCGCGCCTCTGCACGTTGGGAACTGCGGGCAGCGAGCTCCTGTGCAGTTGTCGCTGGATGAGATGGTGGGGGTGGAAAATTATCACCAGGTGGTGGTGTATTAGGAGGCGGTAATGGTGGTAAAGGTGGTTGTTTATGAGAGGGCGGACTAGGGGCGATGTTATTAGGTGGAGGTGGCAAACTTCGAACTCTATCTGCAAGGGTCGTGGCACTAGAATCAGGAGCTTTGGGCCTAGCTTTAGCTGGTGGCTTAGTACTGGGACTGGTGCTACGTCGCGCCCAGAGGCAGCGACCCCTTGAGAACCTGACTTTGGGGCTTGTGGGACTGGATGGACAGAGACAGCAACCCTTGGACGCGGCGGTTGGACCGGATGCCCTCAATGAGGGTTGCCAATTGGGCGGTGGGTGCCCAGGCTCCTTAGGTTGCTTGGCAACCGGAGTTGTGTCTGCGCTACCACTCGCCGCGCCAGCAACGGATGTTGCGGCAGCTGGCCTAACCCCCTTTGGCCGGGGCTGCTGCTGTGGACCTATATATCTATAATATATATCCCACTCTTCTGCGCGTGGGTGCTCTGCCCCTAAGATTCGTTGGTTGATGATCCTCTTTGGAGGTAGGTCACCAGAATCTATGACTTGCTGTGCGTGGGCAGTACCTCTACGCCTGTCCAACCCGTAAGTGTGAGCCCACTCTTTGTAGGGGATAAGGATATTGTAGGCTAAAGCTAAACACTGTGATGTTGGGAGTTCCTCAACAAGTCTTGAATGAAGAGCTATCAACCAGCGGATGCTTTCGTCGGCGTTTTCGTAAGATATCTTTCTTAACCAAAAGCCACCTACGATATCCCCTCCGGAATTGTGGTAAAGCCAATTTTGGTATGCCTCGAAGTCGCTCCACCAAGCTCGCTTTGCTTCTTGCCACCTGGTTTGAGCACCGCCCCTGCTGGATCGAACCCTTGGTCGATGGGCTGTTGATGAACTGGCAGGGGAATGTCCTACTTGGATAGGATCGGCACCTGGGTCTACAAGATTAGGGCTAGTTGGTGGTGGGACTATGTCACCGGGGCAATTAGTGTTGGCTTCTGTCGCGACACCGGATGTGTCAGCGACCAAGGGCTCGGATGCAACGGCTGCTTCGGATGCTTCGGCAGGTGGGCCTTCGGCTTCCACTTCTGCCTCAACTCCTACTGGGCTCGCTTCAGTGCCTAACCCTAAAGGATCTGTTATTTCAACTTCGCACTCGGCCTGGTCAGGAGAAGGTGCCGGAGAAAGATGATCTGGATCTTGTTGTTCCTCCTTTGCACGATCAATGTCCGTGAAAGCAGCTTCGGCCGGATTGTCCGTTTGAAGCGGTTCTTCCAAAAATTGTTGATCTGAAGGTTGTTCAAAGTCCAGTGCACTCTCCTCCGTCGCGACGGGCTCGTCAGCGACCTCCTCTGGCAGACCTATTGCTGATAAAACTGCACCCAACGAATGCGCCTCTTGAAGCTCTGACTCCTCTTCTTTGACCTGAACAAGACCAGTTGATGTCGCTTCACCAGAAGGCGCGGTCGACTCCTCCAATACCTCAGACAGGTCGGCCCAGTTTCTGGAGTCCTCAGCTACCGGGTCAACAGTTAGTGGAGGATTTTCCTCAACACCTTCTGCTTCGCCAGCCGCTTCGGATCCGCCCACTGGTGTTGTCTCAGTCGCGCTGTGATCAGCAGCGACCTCTTCCGACCCTTCTGAGGGCATGCAAGACGGGAACAGTGAAAGTGCGAAAAGTGTTAGGGCCTAAACAAAGTTTGACGGATTAGGTTCCCCGACCAACAGAAAAACAAGCCTTACGGCTGATAACCAGACAAACAGGGGGTCGAACCAGAAACCCAAAAGGTGGGGTACCAATCCGCCAAACCCTGCATACAAAACAACAAACAAACGCCTTTTCTGGTAGGCGCTTGAGCCATAGGGTCGTTAGCGTATAACCTAAACCCCAACTCAGGTGGTTGTTAGAATTGGGGGCTACACCTTACTCTACCTAAGGCTACTCTACCTATGTAACGCTTCTACATAGGTAGTGCTACAGCTGTACATATCGGGGATATCTACTTTGGGTATGATGGACTCATAGCTAAGGCATACCTCTACTAGACCTACCTGCACATGCTATACATGGTGGGGCTCAGGGGTCGATATATTTCAACTGATCAAACCAAAAAAAACGCCACTAGTGAAGGGAGTGGTTTGAGGTCTAACCCAGTAAAGTCGCAGTGGCTAAGAAGTGGAATTCCGGGCATCACTGTGAAGCAACAAATATCGACAGTGAATTTCAGCTCTCAAGGGCGACCGCTTGAATATCCACATATAAAAATTCGTGAAACATCACCCATCGCCGAAAGTGAATTTTCATCAGCACAAAAACAACTTGACAAAGCATCTCGTCTCAGTGATTTCTATCATTTTGATGGCTTAAGTGCACGTGTATGCTAATTTAACCCCCTTGCAACTGGTCAAGAATCTAGCAACCTGAAAACAGGGCCTGGCATAGTTGTTTTTTCGAGGGCCAGCAAGGTCATAATTAGCCTCCTCTGGTGGTACATATCCTTCCAATTTCGGTTGGTTCTCTTTACTATTTCCTACCAAGTCGGTGTCATCCAAGTGAATATTAGGGATCGTTGTCATCCTGGTTGAGTTTCCATGTATTTCCTATAGTTGAGTTTTCCTAAACTCAGACATCAGCATTAGATCCAGCTTCATTTTGCTCATGGGCTAATCTCAGATACCTCGAAGAAAACCATCAAACCACCCATCTCCGCGTAATTGATGCTCAAATCCCCTCTTTTGCTTGAACAATCCCAATTTTCTCTCGTTAAATCCACCATTTATTAATTACCCTTCTGGTAATTTCACATAGCTAAATGGCCATCTAGTGCGTTGATTTACCTATGATGGATATTTATAAATGGTGATTTTCCATAGCTATATGAATTTACCAATCACCATTTGAGAATAGCTATTTTGAAAATCAATTTCATACCACTTGCCTTCCATGTATGGAATATTTACCTACATAAAAGGGCCATTCTTGGGGTAAATATAGGTAAATATTCCAGCACCATGGAGCATCTGGGAATCATATACTGTTAAAAACAGAAAAAAGGCACTTAAAATATACTTTATAGAATATGGGGTTTCATATAATAAATATTTTTCATACTGACCTAAAAATAAATTTTCCATTCATACCACCATTTGATCATAGATACATATTTGAAAATTCATTTCACACCATTTGCCAACCATATACTATTTAATCTGGTTGGTGGTTTGAACCCCTCTGAAAAATATGAAAGTCAGTTGGGGTTATTATTCCCAATACATGGAAAAAATCATGTTCCAAACCACCAAGCAGTAACCATCATTAATAACCATCATTAATAGCCATCATGAACCATTAATAACCATAACTAAGTTCCAAACCACCAGCCATTAATACCTTTTTTTTTGAAAGCAGAGTTTCTTCCGCCTTCAGCGGTTCGTAGGCCCAGTCCAGCTCTTGTGGTCGTGGAACCGCAGCACCAGCACGGCCTGATGGATCTCACCGGGAACTCATGGGAATTACCATGGGATTCCTTTCATGGTGATATATACCAACAATGGGTATATTACCAACAACATTAAAAAAATATCAATGGGTAGATTACCAACAACATTAACATTAGGATTCCTTTCATGGTGATTGATATACGGATTTTACCAACAATGGGGATATTGATGGGAATTACCCAACCTGGTTGTGTCAAAATAGCGAACTGGAAGCCATGGCCCATAGAAATAGTTGATTTACCGTTTTTAAAGCTTGTGATTTTCCATAGCCATGTTAAATTACCAGAGGGTAAAATATTATATATATGGTTATGGATACGGAAATAGCCTTTTTAGGGGAATGAACATGCATGTACCAGCTATTTTGATGTGAACTACAGGGGTACAAGGTGTTGACCGATCCCCATATCATGTATACACATTGTAATGATGTGATGTGATATGATGCAGTAAAACATGGAGATATACCCTCCTGTAAACTAACATAGATGTGGGCGATCTACCATTTGTATGTTAGGTTTTCCACAAAAAGTTTTCCACATCTATGTTAGTTTGCTTAAGGGTAATGATTCATGTAGTATCAAGAAAAATCAGGTAAAACTCAGTGATCGCAGAAGTTATACCAGAATAAGTAATGTCAATGAACTTGAAGTAGGTGCAGAATGTAATGATGTTAGCCAGTGGCGGCGAAGCTAACAACAATTTTATGCGGGCACCTTGCGCCAAACATTGTTGGCCAAGTATAGGTATATGACCTTACCCCGGATTTCAGGAGTATGGGACATGTTATCATTCTAGATAACATATTGGATAGTCAATTTCATGTTTTAAAAGCCATGGCATAATGTACACTTTACAGTCATAGGCAACAACAATATAGTGGGATCCGTTTTGGTACCACTATGTGACATGAACATGCATATTACGAATAGGGGTTCATTCGAGTAGTTTCTTCTTATCATATCGTAAAATGTTCACAGTATATTGATGCCTCTTTAATGCTTTTTTTTTCGGTAATTATATGGTCATCCATCCTATAATTGGAGCCTGAGATTAATGGGTACATTAATCCCTGGTAATGGATTGATGACCAGCCCCCAAATTAGTGGGTTAATCTTATCCAACTTTTGAGCATGGAACATATGAAGTTACACAAATGGTTGATATCTCCAATGCTATTAAGGGCTTAGAGGCTTAGTGGCTTCAAATATCGCTGTGAGACTGAGATTCACATCCAGGGAGAAACAACCTGGAACGAGAATTTATCAACTTTCTGATTCACATCCTTCAGGTACACTAGGGGAATCAGGGAATAAGTTGTATAGTAAGTTGGATGCAGGGAATAAATTTATTTGGGAAACAAATTGCAATGATTCAGAAAGTTGATTAAGTTTGTTTACGTTTCCTTTTTGAAATGTTGGCCAGACATCAGTTTAAAAGTAGATTATATAAAGGATTATTATTCCACTAAATTGTTGGAAATAAACAATATTATAGAAAGACAATTTATGATCTGATGAGAGTGATAGGATGTGTGTTTAGGACTCTCGGTAGTCTAACCTGGCACTCCCCCGCGGTCACAAATATCTTTTGGTAAGTTTAAGATATGTTGAAGTATAGTATGATTACCATTCCATGGTGAGGGCATATCTTTTGATCTAACATCTAGAAGCACACATGTACATTCTTCGGGTGGTGCGGTGGTACATGACAGGCGTAAACGTGCTGGTAACTTAGAGCCAATAATCAGTTAATGTGGGTAAAACAGTAATAAACCACCCATTTTGGGAATGGTTTATACCCGCCTATTTTGGTGAAACTCGGGTTTGTTTATTATTGTTTTACCCAAATTGTTTATATATACTTCATATGTCCAGGTTTCTGAGTTCTCTAAATTTTTACCAATATTTACTTAAATTGTATTAAATTGTTTTATCAAAATTAATCCATTCCCTCTGGTATCCCCAAAAAAGTGTAGATCCAATGCTAAAGCGGAGGTTTCTAGGGATGTTTACTGGAAGCTGAGCTGTAGCTTCGGCAACCATTTTGATTCGGGTGTCTGTTTGGGTCTGGCTTCTGAAGGTTCCGAACAACCAGCAGCAGAGCTGGCAGCAGAGGCTTCAGTCCTTCCGGCCCCACTTTTTTTTGCAGCTGCGTTTGCCTGCTCTGCCGCCTGCATGGCACCATAAAAGACTTGATCCTTGAACACGACGGAGTTGGCGTGCAAGTGATTGGTCAGGTGCGTCCAGCACCGTTCACCGTCGGCGCGCGAGGCCCAGAGCAACCAGGCCCGCGTCAGAGGTGCATCCTGGGTGACCCTAGGTTGATACTTCAGAGCCCTGCCAAAACATTGAGCCCAGTTCTTAAAACTGCTTGACTAAGGAGGCGACAAACCACATATTTAAGAACTACAATACTGTAGGTTTCCCAATCGATTTCCACATGTATCCATATATATATATATAGTTTATATATTGGTGTGTGGTTAAAATTAGAATGTAAAGCACCTGTTCAGGACAACATCCCCACCTGGTGGTTTGAAACCATTCTGCCGTGGGCGCTGCCAGCGCTGAGAGGTCTCGCGCTGCTCTCGTGGAGCAACTTGCCCGGGGTAGTGGCGCTGGTACCAATCTTTCCTCGAGTCGCGATGATTTCAAAAAGGGACTTTGGTGGTGATTTAACCCATTTAACCGATTTAATCCAATAAAAATAGTACTAGAATTTTCTCTAGTTTAGTGGGAGATAATTTTCATATCGTGGGAATCTCATTGGGACAACTCTCCATTATGGGAATGAAGGTCACAACTTATCCATGGCAATACCCACATAAGCACGCCATGCTGCCAAAAAAGCTTTCTCCAGGAAAAGTTTTTTTTTTTAAAGGAGATGGGAGTCTCTACCCACATCAACCAACCATGACTCTATGGACTCAACCAACATCAACCAACCATTAACCAACCATTTCTCTATGGAGTGTTGTTCACAAGAGATTCGCAACAATCACGGAAGAAAACCCTGCTGGGTATACCTCACAAATACCATTGGTTGGGATCCATGGGCAATGGGTGTGACTGAACACTGGCCGGGGGCTACCGTACCACTAAAATGATGGCAAGTTTCAGAGAAGGATTGTTTGATATACATCATGATGGCCAGTTTATGATATTTATTATTTGGGATATACAATATGATGATGTTTCACATCAGATTTTGTATGGTAAAAAAGGCACCCCATGTTCAGACACAGTCAGGTTTTTAGCCGCCAGAAAAACGCGTTGAGGTAAAATTGTGAACGGCCAGGGATTTACATTCTGCGTTCGTGGGTGAGCATAAGCTGATAGGATAATCCATGCGACTGCGCTCACCACTGAACTCAACAAATTGACCCTTTAGAATAACTGGTTGGTGGTTTTACGAATTTCCCAATATATGGAAAAAACATGTTCCAAATCACCAACCAGATAAGTATTGACTAATGTCACAGTTCTGGGGCGCTAAAAGCACTTTTCAAAATTGCCAACCTCCCGCTACGTGCTCTCTGGGAATTGTTCAAACTGTTCCACACCAGTGCATTAGGCCATCTACAAGCCTGCTCAATTTCAGCACCAAACTCAAGTGAAGCTTGCATTGCCCAAGCGGTCAAGTCATTCACGTACGTTTGCCAACCTAAAATCTTCAACTCACGTGAAGTCCATTTTGTGGTATCAGGGACAGGCGGACTGCCCAATCATTTCTCTGACTTGGCAAAAACATCAGCTGCATGCATTTTCCGGCCACCTTTAAATGCAGGTGTTCATCGCCAAACCGAAATGCACAACTGGGACGGTTCAAATCGTCACCATGGGATGTGATCGTCATGTCATGATGGGATTTACCCTCTGGTAATTTAACATAGCTATTGAAAATGGCCATTTATAGTGGATTTTCACATTAAAAATGGTGATTTCCATAGTTATGTTAATTTACCAGAGGGTAAAAGCAACCAAATCAACATATCCAAAAGAACTCTATTGACCAAATCATTAACCATCACTAACCATCATATAACCACTATTAACCACCATTAATTAACGAACTATATGATCAGTAGTTGCTATTATCGGTGAGCTTTTTCCCCACCTGCCAGGTGAGGGTTGTTAGATTTTATGTCAGTTGCCTCCTCCTCCTTCTCCTCCTCCTCCTCCTTCTCCTTCTCCTCCGCCTGCCTCGTCCTCCTCTCCTCCTCCTCCTCCTCCTCGTCCTCCTCGTCGTCCTCGTCGTCCTCGTCGTCCTCGTCGTCCTCGTCGTCCTCGTCGTCCTTGCTCAACTGCGACCCGCGATCCACAGTGTTCTCTGCCGGACCTCAACCACGACCATCCACGCCCAGTGTTCCCTGCCGGACCTCAACCACGACCATCCACGCCCAATGTTCCCTGCCGGACCTCAACCACGACCATCCTCGCCCAGTGTTCCCTGCCGGACCTCAACCACGACCATCCACGCCCAGTGTTCCCTGCCGGACCTCAACCGCGAGTATCCACGCCAAGTGTTCCCTGCCGGACCTCATGTAGGAAGATTGAAGATATGGGACAAAGAATGTGCAGAAGAAAGTTAGAAAGAATGTCAGAAAGAATGTCAGAAGATATGCCAGAAGATATGCCAGAAGATATGCCAGATAGAATGCCAGATAATATGCCAGAAGATATGCCAGATAGAATGCCAGAAGATTTGCCAGATAGAATGCCAGAAAATATGCCAGAAGATATGCCAGATAGATATGTCAGAAGATATGCCAGAAGATATGCCAGAAGATATGCCAGAAGATATGCCAGAAGATATGTCAGAATATATGCCAGAAGATATGTCAGATAGAATGCCAGAAGATATGTCAGAATATATGCCAGAAGATATGCCAGATAGAATGCCAGAAGATATGTCAGATAGAGTGCCAGAAGATATGCCAGATAGAATGCCAGAGATTTGCCAGATAGAATGCCAGAAGATATGCCAGATCATATGCCAGAAGATATGCCAGATAGAATGTCAAATAGAATGTCAGAAGATATGTCAGATAGAATGCCAGAAGATTTGCCAGTAAGAAAATGTATAAATGTCATGGTGGGGATCACACGAAGTAAAGTATTTTTTTTTTCCGGGGGCCATATCGTGCTGGTACTAAGTCGTGGTCTTCAACCGTAAGTGGATTCAACCATGGTTATAATATGATATACCCTCTGGTACTTGAACATAGCCATTGAACATGGCCCAGTCGAAATAGTTGATGACTATCCATCAAACAGGATTTTCTATAGTTATGTTAAAAAAATACTAGAGTGTAATCCATTTAACCCTCAACCGCAGCTCCAAAGATGTCATAGACCGAGTTTCTTCTTGTTCTTCGCCGCCCCCGCGGCCGCCGCTGCGCCCGGCGCTTCGCTTTCGGCGAGCACCGGCGACCGAACTTCGGGGGGCCTTGGAGACGGAGAAGTGGGGGAGATGGGGGACTTACCCCAGAAGATCATGCTTCATAACTGGTTGGTGGTATACAACCCCCTCTGAAAAATATTAGTCAGTTGGGATGATGAAATTCCCAATATATGGAAAGATAATCCAAATGTTCCAAACCACCAACCAGATAATGGTTAATCATGGGGTATTCATCTTGAGTGATCTTTTCAGGTTGTTGTATGATGACTAATGGGTTTAGATGATTGATGGGTTTATATTGGTTGATAGTGGTTGATAATGGCTACCTTTATAAAAGGTGAGGCCTCCGAATGATCGCTAAGTTGACTCATACCTTGGTTAACTGTTGGGTTAATGGGGGAGGGAACTACAGTTGTTTATACACACACACACCTATAACTGGGGGTCTCGCTTCATAGATTTTCGATGGAGTTTGTTCACTGGTTAATAATATGGGCTATTTACCCAATTACCAGTTTTCATGCCGTCAACAACACCATAATATCTATAATCTTATAATAAGAATCTAGTTATACCATAATATAAGCTATGATAATGTTTGTAGACTATTATCATGGCTCAAAAAACCAACTTGTCAACCAGTTAACTCAGTCCATGGCCCATCTAAGTATACCATCAAATACCATTTATCTGGGTAAATTATAAATATTTCACTAACCTGAGTTAAGGCCATTTGGGATGATTTCCCTTGTTAACCATGATTCCAGGGTTCGGTCGCAGTGAGGTCGTGATGAAATTTACCCAGATTTATATGCCATGGTCAAAACTTTGGTTTCATGGTTCACCCTCTCTTTTCATTCTCGGACTACCCTTCTGACACCTAGTACCCCCCTTAACCGGGTAGGGGCGTTGGTGCTGCGACTTCGCTCGCGCAGGATTCCGTCAAAACTTTGGTAAAATCGTAGGGATTTATATCCGATTAGTCCAGGATTTCCTGACGGGAAATGGTGGGATATGATGACCATACCTTTTTTTACCATAGTGACCATGGCACCATATGGCACCTATGCACTTCTCCGTACTGTGTCAACTACCCGGCCTGGTAAACATACAAAAAACGATCGAAAATGGCCATAGACGTAGTGGATTTACCCATTTAAAATGGTGATTTTCCATAGCCATGTTAGTTTACCAGAGGGTAAAATCCCTTTTGTCCTAGTTTAGTATCCCCGTTACATACTACATCCCTGCTTGGATGCCTAATTATCCTTTGGTTTACAACCCACGGAAAACCCAGTTGGGCAGTTGGGGATGTTCCATACGAGTATATCACTGCGGTACAAGATGCTTATTACTCACTGAATAAGTGGGATGAACCCCATTACCCTTTTCAAACCTGGCAAGGGGGAAAATGGTGATGTTAGCAACAACACATGTTATTAGCCAGAATATATGGGGATACAACCGGCTTGGGGGTGCAGTGGTTGGTGGTATACCTACCCCTCTGAAAAACATGAATTCGTCAGTTGGGATGATGAAATTCCCAATATATAGAAAAATAAAACATGTTCCAAACCACCAACCAGATAAGAATGGGCACCTGTTGTTTCATCATGGCTATACCTTTGTCCCCATCAATGTACCCGACTGCACCCCAAGCACACTGCAATAAATATTCAAACCAGGCTGACAAGTACCTGCTTGGCTCCACATGTGCTAGCAATCAGCACTAATCAGAATATTAACAGACCCTTTACCTTCACAGTACTAGTACTAGAAGTGCTAGTAGTGCTAGTAATACGACTACAAGGTCTACCATGGTCTACCAACGTTTTCATTGCTAAATCCTTTGTGTTGGTGGACGATGGTTAAGTCCCCTCATTGCTGGTTAAGTCCTCCATCTTCCTGGTCAAAGATATCCACGTTTGATGCTGAAAAATCCCCGATATTTGCGGCCTAAATCCATCTTTTTGCTGGTTGCATCCCCATATTTCATGGTCAAATCCAACCTAATGCTGATTGATGTCATGAAATATGCAAAAAAAACTATCCAACCTAATTGCTATTCATATATTATTCATAGGTATTTTTCATGTTTCTTGCTAGAAAAATCATGCTAAATCTCCACATATTCTCTACACATTTGCTTGTTCCAGCCTGTGAACCAAGCTCTACCCATGGATCCACCCATTCTTCGCGCCGGCTCCGAGCTCCGCACGGCTTCTTGGCGTTCATCTTGGGCGACGGAGGCATGTACTCAGCGGCTGCCTGGCTCATCGTTTGGAGAAAATTTGGGGATTTCACCGGATTTCATGAGATTGAAGTGAGGATTTCATGGGATTTGATGGGATCTAATGGGAATTGATGGTTCAATGGTTAACCAAGAAAAGTGCAGATTTCACTCACAAAGATGCGGACGTTCTCGGATTCAGTGAAATGGTTCAAGGGAAAACAACTGGAAAGTAGGGTGTTTAGAAACATATAGAAACACATGCCGGGGATTACGATTTTCCCTTAAACATCCTTGAGCATCCTTGAGCAATTTCTGGGAAGCCAAACCTGTTGCCCCACTCAATCCTTAACTTAGTACACCGAAAGCCTCACGCCCTATTCTGAAGTGGGACTATCAAAAACCCTAGAGTTCTCATATACCCTCTGGTAGTTTCACATAGCTATTGAAAATTGCCCATTTATAGTGAGTTTTCCCTTGAAAAATTGGTGGATTTTCCATAGTCATGTAAACGTTTACCAGCGGGTAACCTAGATGTTGGATGATACACCAACCAGCCGTTAATATTCCATTACCACAGGGTTGATCACCATTAAATCACCATTAAATCACCATTAATATCCCTATTATAGATTATTAACCATTATTAACCATTATTACAGATTAATATTCCCTCCTAAATCACCATTAAATCACCCTATGAAATCACCATTGGCGTAAAGCTTGCCCTTGCCAACCGCAGTACAAAACCTAGATTGGACGATTGGACACTGTTATCTGATAGCCTAGATTGGACAATGGGATTTAATGGGATTTAATGGGATTTAATGGGATTTACACAATGGGATTTATCTGATACATCTGATAAAACTTGGAAAGCATACACCCCACCAAGCCACTGCGATGGTGATGAGCTGTGTGGAGTGATTCTGACAACGGCTGTGATCAAAGAAGAAACCTCCAGAACTACCATCAAATCCAGGAATGGATAGGAATCAAATCCCATCAAAGTCCATCAAATTCCATTAAATCCCATTTAATGTGTCCGTTCAGGCACATTTCAGAGAGCGAGCGAAAGCTTAGACGCCTCTCGAACCGTGCGATGACGCCGGATGCTAAAGTCTTGGATTTTTGGCCGCACCTTAAGCTCTCCCTTTGCCTGCAGCACTTCCTTCAAAGCCATAGCCACCTCAAAATCGATGGACAACACCATTGCGATATTTGATGTGGAAGTGCGCTTCCAAGACACATATTTTCACCCATAGACTCTTCACCCAGAAACTCCATCACAATACAGGCTCGGCAGAAACAGGACCATGCCCTTCCATATCAAAAGAAATATAACAAATAAATAAATAGATATAATCATCGAAGGAAGTTTAGAAGTTAAACGTCCGACAATATGGACAGATGAAAAGCAGAGATGGGCAGAGGCAGAGAGAAGAGAAGAGCAGAAGAGAGAAAGAAGATGATAGAAGAGAAAGAGTCTGAAGAAAGAAGATGCAGATGCGCGAAAAGGTAGAAAAGCCGCGAAACACCGTGTTTTTCCAATGATTTGTGGCTCCGGAGGGTCAAAAAGTAGGCTCGCTAAAGCGGCGGGTGCGGAGCCATCTGGCCAGATGAGAGATGAAAAAGTGCACGCTGTTGCGGCGCGAAGCACATTTCCAAGTCAAAATGTACAAAGCACATCAGGTTCGGACCACTTTTGGAAGTTGAGATGTCGAAAAAGTGCACGCTGTTGTGGCGTAAAGCACATTTCGAAGTCAAAATGCACAAAACACACCTGTGTCGCACCACTTTTGGAACTTGAGATGTCGAAAAAGTGTGCACCATTGTGGTGCGAAGCACATTTCGAAGTCAAAATGTACAAAACACCACATGCTCGCTTCACTTTTAGAGGTTCAGATGTCGTTTCGCGTGGCAGGCGCAAGGGATTGTGCACCGTGTCAAAAGTGGGCAAAACGTGAAGGTTCTGTAGCATGTCCAAAAACGATGGCAGGCGTGGGGCATTTGAAGAGGATCTGCAAAGATGCATTTTCCGTGGCAGGAAAACTACAAAAGACATGTTCATGAGAGACGTTAGGAGGTCAGGGCGCTGATTTCCTGAGAAGGGTTGCGCTTGAAGCCTCAGATCTTCATGTTGCTGCGTTTGAACTTGCCGGACGCTGAGCTCATCCGATTCGCCCAAGGCTTTTCTGAGGGATATCTGGAAGATTCTGAAAATGTGGTCCGGGGTCGCTGTTCCGATTTAACCGACAAAAAAAACATTTAACTGACAGAATGGGGGTTTAACCACACAAGATTTGCATTCACAACTAAATAGGACAAGATTCGGCCCCCAATACTTAGCTAGTTGGTTGATCACTAGTTTATGGCAAAGCCCCTGTGTGCATCAGGCAGTTGGTCAGGGTGTGCGCTGCATTGTAGCTAGGATGGAATTGCAAGGCATAAAACATTCATCCACGCTCGAGGACAAGAGTGGGATTGGTGGAAGAACCTTTGCACAGGCTAACAAGAGGAGCGCTTGGCATTGGAAGATACCAAAGCAATACAATCCAACATATACCCTCTGGTAAACGTTTACATGACTATGGAAAATCACCATTTTTAATGGGTAAATCAACCATAAACGGCCATTTTCAATAGCTTTTTGTATGTTTACCAGAGTGTATTTCAACACCGTCAACCACCACCCAAAAAGCTTAAAAAGGACCCCCCCGGGAAGGGTGTTCCTTGTTAGGGTCCTGGTATCACCAATGGGATAAGCAGCTTCGACTTAAAATTACCAGGGTCATTCACCAACCAACTAACTGGGATTTTTCTCCACCCAGAACCATGTTGCCAAATTATGCAGGATGGTGCCCCCTAGTTATGTTGGTTTATAACCCAATCTAATTATGGGTTATAACCACATATAACAAAACCATAATCCAAAACAGCTACTTTAGTTACCCTCTAGTAAACAAACAGTTTGCTATCGAAAATGGCCAGTGAAATAGTTGATTTACCCATTAATAGCATGGTGATTTTCCATAGTTATGTAAACGTCTACCACAGGGTAATTTAGATGTTGGATGATCCACCAACCAGCCATTAATATTCCATTACCACAGGGTTGATCACCATTAAATCACAATTAATATCCCTATTAAGTCACCAAAACAAGCATAATCCAAACCAGCTACTTGAGTTATTTCAACCAACTTAGCTAACATAAATCAGCTACTTTTTTCGGCAATCTCCCTATTTTTGGTGCTCGAATCAAGGCTTAAGTCCCCTTACCTCACATGGGGCACCACTGTAAAAGTAGTTGGCTCGATAGTTAGCCCCCATTGTATCCCATTTTGCCATGATATCCCATTGTACCACTTTTTTGTTGGTTAAATTGCCATGGCTGTGGAATCTTCCGTGTCTGGTTTAGATAACTTTAGAGTTATATACTCCATCCAAAAAAAGAATAAATGATCATAAGTAATCCCTATATATCCCTACCATATTTTCCTTGATATCCCCATGATATACATTCTATACCAATTCCACCATTATTAATGGTGGTTAACTAAATTTAACTAATTTCACCCTGCAATATTGCTTGGTGGTTTGAACCATCTTGAAAAATATTAGTCAGTTGGGATGATTATTCCCAATGTATGGAAAAATAACAAATGTTTGAAACCACCAACCAGATAATAAACATTATTAACCATTAATAAACCATTATTAACCATGATTAACCATTATTTACCATTAATAACCATAAATAACAAGTAATGCAATATTGCTTTATGAAGTCCCACTTAGTTGGTGGTGAACCCTGACAGCTGGGCCTCTTCCTCCACGTCGAAGAGATCCTGCCACTTCGATGGGAATGGGGTACGCTGATGCTGTTTGGTGCCTAAGGGAATTTGTGGATTTCAGCACCAAAAAATACCAAACATATGGATTTATGAGGATTTAACCATCCAAAAGATGAGGATTTAACCATCCAAAAATCTGGATTTATGATGTTTATCCGCAAAATATGAGGATCCATCCAAAATTAGGATTTATGGCCCAAGAAAAGTGGGACAGTTTACAACTAGGCTATCTAGGCAGGGTTGATGGTGGATTTAGACTGCAAATGAGCCAACTGAAAAATGCGGATTTAGATCGCTTGGACATCCTTTTGCAAAAACGACTCGAACCAACAAACAGCCAAGGTGCTTCAACGACATAGCGGCGATATCACCAACACATAGAATCATTTCATCAATAGTCAGTGGGAATTCCAGGATCCTAAAATGGAGGTACTGTACCATATAAGGCCATATTTTGTGGGGATATTCCCTTACATAGGCCTTATATATGGTAGGTACCTCCATTTTAGGATCCTGAAATTCCCATTGAAATAGTGATATACCCGTCAGTACTTCGTCTTTTGGCCAGGGAAAATCCACATATTGAACTCTTCATAGCCATATTTGTGGGTCCTCGTTGTCGGTCAAATCACCATCACAAACAGCCAAGAAACCACAGCTCCCAGCCGGGTAAATCTGAGGCTTTCAAAGTGCACAACTGAGGATTTCTAAGTGCTTGGTAGGTGAATATCCTGCAGCCAAATGGGGGTACCCCCAAATCATCCATTTCAAGTGTTTTTTTCATCATGACAACCATCCATTTTGGGGGTACCCCCACAGATTGGTAATCAATCGCTTTAATCAGGAACCAGGATTTAACTTAAGCCAGCTAATCCCCATTTTTTTCACTTAAATAAGTAAACCATCATATTATTTTTAACCCAGATCCAAAAGACCAATCGGACACACCAAGGGTTTACCTTCTTTACTTGTTAACATGGTCAAATCTCAAGGGTTTAGATGGTCAAATTTGCCGTCGCGACTTCACCACTCTTCACCAGTTGTGTGGCAAAATTTCCATGGCAGCCAGACCATCAAACATGGATCCCCCATGTCCAACCATTCTTATCGCTTACTTGCTCATGTTTGATGAGTCACATGTTGATGTTCATTAAACCATGAACCAATTCATCTGTCCAACCTTCCCGGCTGCTGCTTGATCCAACCGGCTGTAGCTTACAGCCCTGTTATCAGTTGATTTAAATCAAATGCAAACAAAGTGACTGCTTCGTGCCACGCGATGCTCTTCTCCAGGCAGAGCAGCGCAGTTGCTAGTGCCACCGACCGGTTCTTGCCGTAACGGCAAAGTCACCAGCGCTGCTGATCTGTTTTTGCCTTTAAGGCAGTGGAAAAGGATGTCTTTTCCGCGCTGAACACTCAAGACACTGATTGTCCAAGCAAACACCAGTGACCGTAATCAAATGCAAACAAAGTGACTGCATGGTTCCAATCCACTTTCTGCTCGAGGGCGATCAACAGCATTGAGAGCCCTGCCGATCGGTTTTTGCCCTTGAGGCAGTGGGCCAGGATGCAGCTTCCGCGATCGCGCTGAGCGCGCAACCAAGTTAAGAGACCCAGCAGCCTCAGATTCAATGAATATTTATGAGTAAAATAAATTTGAAACACAATGACAAATAAAGATGAAAGGATCGTGAGTAAACACGTTACTCCTATACAATCCTAATGTACAACAAAAATGCTACAGATGGCTTTTAAGTCCTGAAACTGCAATGAATATGCATATCATACACAAATGTCTGTCAAGATCTAAGGAAATATAAAAAATATATACAAGATGCAGCCCACGAACCTGAATGCTCACACGTATGTTAGTGGTACAGATGTCGAAACACATGGATATGCAGTCACGCAGAACACTTTTCTGCAATAGTAGAGTGTGGAGTGCGGAAGGAGTGTGGGGTGAAAGTGTGGAGTGTGGAGTGTAAAGTGTGGAGTGTGGAGTGAGGAGCGTGGTGTGTGTAGAGTGTAGAGTGTGGTGCAGTGTGGAGTGTGGCGTGTAAAGTGTAGAGTGTGCAGTGAGGAGTGTAAAGTGCAAAGTGCAAAGTGTGGAGTGTAAAGTGTAGAGTGTGGAGTGAGGAGTATAAAGTGTAAAGTGTGGAGTGTAAAGTGTAGAGTGTGGAATGTGGAGTGGAAAGAGACGAGTATAGAGTGTGGAGTGTGGAGTGTGGAGTGTGGAGGTGGAGTGTGGAGTGTAAAGTGAGGAGTGTAAAGTGTGGAGTGAGGAGTGTGTAAAGTGTAGAGTGTGGAGTGTAGAGTGTCAAGTGAAGAGTGTAAAGTGTAGTGTGGAGTGGAAAGTGTAAAGTGTAGAGTGTAAAGTGTAGAGTGTGGAGTGTGGAGTGTAAAGTGTAGAGTGTGGAGTGTGGAGTGTAGAGTGTGGAGTGTGGAGTGAGGAATTTAAAGTGCAAAGTGTAAAGTGCGGAGTGTAAAGTGTAGAGTGTGGAGTGTGGAGTCTAAAGTGTAAATTGTAGAGTGTGGAGTGTAAAATGTGGAGTGTGGAGTGTGGATCTTCCCACATAGACACGGAGACGCCACAGGAAAACCAGAGACTCGAGACGAGACACGTGGGCACGGAAAAACGAGCATTTCTTGCGAGACTTCCGCTAAGTTTGACACTTTCGACACGTTATCAAACAGGTTGGAATGTCACAAAGTGCCGCGCCTGCCACGCAAAACAACACTACAACCTGCTTGAAAACCTTCGAAAAGGATATGTTTTGCAGCTTCCCCCAAAGACACGGCGAGGCCACAGGAAAACCAGAGACTCGAGACGAGACACGTGGGCACAGCAAAACGAGCATTTCGTGCGAGACTTCCGCTAAGTTTGACACTTTCGATACGTTATCAACCAGGTTGGAATGTCACAAAGTGCTGCGCCTGCCACGCAAAACAACACTACAACCTGCTTGGAAACCTCCAAAAAGGAGAGGTTTTGCAACGGCGAAGCCACAGGAAAACCAAAGACTCGAGACGAGACAGGTGGGAGCGTCAAAACCAACACTTCGTGCGAGACTTCCGCCAGTTTTCACAGTTGGAAACGTGGAAAAAGGAAGGAGAGGTTTTGCAGCTTCCCCCATAGACACGGCGAGGCCACAGGAGAAACCAGAGACTCGAGACGAGACACGTGGTAGCATCAAAACGAGCATTTCGTGCGAGGCTTCCTCCAATTTTGACAGTTTGTAGCCTCAAGATGACTCAAGATCGAAGTTTTCCTACGAGTTATTAATTCAGGAACATGAAAATTTGCTATCTCAAAATCGATGTTTTGTGCGAAGCTTCCGTCAATTTTCAACATATCTCACAAAATGCAACGCCTGCCACGGAATCTGCACCTTGTCGCCACTTGACGCAGCCCTGCCAATGCGATTTGCAGACACGCAACACGACACGTCTAAAGTGCTGCGCCTGCTACACAAAATGACGATGGACACTTCCAAAGTGCTGCGCCTGCCACGAAAACTGCAACGCATCTTCTGAAAACGTCGCAAAAGTATTGCGCCTGCCACACAAAACGACTTTCGACACGTTACAAAACACGTCTGAATGTCACGAAAAGTGCCATGCCTGCCACGCCAAACGAAGCAACGAGACGTTCGAAACCTCCAAAAAGGACCCCTTCTGCAGAACTTACCACAGGCACGGCCATACGGTCCTCACGCGAACGGTTGCGAACAGTTGCGAACGGTTGCGGACGGTTGCGGACGGTTACGAACGGTTGCGGATGGTTGCGGACGGTTGCGAACGGTTGCGGACGTAAACACAAGGTCGAGCGAACACACCCTCAACCCCCAGACCCCCACAGTGAAACGGGAACCCTTGCTACGCATTCGGGAAAAAACATGTGCCATCCTCCAACTAGCATAGACCCCGTGAAATAAAGAGTTGAACAACTACTTTCGTCCAAAAACCAGCTATTCTAATTATTATTCTATTTTCTCAATTCTCAGTGTCAATGTTCATTTGGATTGCAACCTACCCTCTGGTAGTTTAACACGGCTGTGGAGAATTAATTGTTGAAATATAGATAAAAATCAGCTTTCAATGGGTCATTTTTCCATCACTATGTCAAATTACCAAATGGTAATTGGATTTTTAAAAAGAAATTGTTATGGCTGTTTTTATGGCTATCTTATAATTTATGAGAAATTCATGGGATATCTAACCAATAATAGCCAACTTAATATGGCTCATCCCTATTCTCCCTATGAAAATATATGAGTAGGAGTAGGATGAACCAGTCGTCAGCAAGCCATCAGTCGCGTCGCGACACAATGTCGTGGCCTCCTCCGTCAGCCCATCCACCAAGTAGCTCTCCTCAATTTCCGCCTGCAGCTGTCGGAGGATCTTTCAACATCTTTCAACCCATGAGGATCTTCCCAGTAAAAATGGTTGGTTTATAAATGGCATCTATAAATGATGGTTAATGATGGTTAATGGTGGTTAATGATGGTTGATGATGGTTATATATCTGGTTGGTGGTATACCTACCCCTCTGAAAAATATGAGAACTCGTCAGTTGGGATATGATGATTCCCAATATATGGAAATATGGAAAAATAATCCATTCATGTTCCAAACCACCAACCAGATATTGTATACCTACCATCATTTTTTAAATTTGAATGGCAATCCACTTATCAACATTTATTGGGATTTAACACAACAGGACACAGCCAGGTTGCAATCAGCAACTCCGTAAAGTCAAATAGTCAGGAAACATTGAACATAAATAAAACTGGCCCAATATATAATTCAAACATTTAAGCGAAATACATTGTCCTGGGTAAACATTTAATAAACCACAATAGTCTTGAAATAAATATTTTGCGAATGACCAATGCATCGGAAGTTACTAAACAGCAAAACAATTCTCAATTCTCCTTGGATTAAGGGTCAATGACCTCAACTTAACCAGCAAAAAAAACACATGCACTTTTAATACATTGAACTATGAGTAGAATTATTAGAATCCATTGATGTTAGTAAAGCAATAGGAGACCAGCCCCAAATTTGCCATAAAAGGGTGGTTTAAACCATCAGAATATAGCTGGTTAATTATTGCTTTACTAACATTCGATTGAATGGTGTACTGTGCCATACTTTTGGTTAATGGTTGGTATTCAATGATCAGTATTTCAGAAGGAGTGACATTATCCAACTACTCAATATCGACCACTGAAGTATGCTCGCTCCCCAGAAACGAGTTGATTGTGGCCTGCTTCCGGCAAAGTTTCAACACCTCCAACCTTGTTTCCCTGAGGTGAAATACCCAATGCTATGGGTGTATCGAGGGTCAGCAAGCAGCTTGATCCACCAAATTACCCTATTGTTGGTTGGTTGGTTGGTTGGTTGGTTGGTTGGTTGGTTGGTTGGTTGGTTTCAAGGCTTCCTTGGGTGAATACCCACTACTTAGCCATTGCTGAATGGTTGGTATCACCTGTTTCTGGTTGAACAAATCAAACCAAAACCAGGCAGCCACAACCCCCCTATGTGTGTTTGTTGTCTTATTAGCCCATCTACCTAAAGCTATGGTCACCACAACACACAACAGACAAGCTAGTTACTAGTTATTTCAACCAACTTAGCTAACAGAAATCGACTAGGCACTCCCCATTGTTGTTGATTAAATGGTCGTTTCTGTTCATCAAATCCAACTGTTTAGTCAGTAAATAACCACTTTAGGTCATCGCAACTTGGCTGACGAACTGGGTCACCAGCTTCTAGTTGGGTTAATTGAGGACCCCATGAATTATATGAATTATATCCCCATGATCTCCCATTGTACCACCATCAATCCCAGAATTATATATTATCCCTATATAATTGCGTAGAATCTCCATATGCTACCGGTAATTTAGCATAGCTATTGAAAATGGTCATTTATAGTTGATTTCCATATAAAAAAAAAACGGTGATTTTCCATAGTTATGTAAGTTTACCAGGGGTATACTATTTCCATTTAGCTTCTCCCCATGACATAATATCCCATATGGCTATTTTCGTCAAAACTCCGGGACCTAGCTGGTAAAACGCTGGAGGTTTTTATCCAAATCTTGTCACTTCAGAGGTTTTGATCCATTATTAGCCGTTATTGACCATTGCTAATCATCATTAACCATCATTAACCATTATTTATAGATGCCATTTATAAACCAAACATTTTTACTGGGAAGATCCTCAGGTTTTGACCATTACTAGTCATTATTGATCATTACTAATCATTACTAACCATTATTAACAATCTTTGTCCATCATTGACCATTAATAATCATAATTTCATAGGTCTTGACCCATCCCCATATGAGCAGTGTTCAAAACCACTCATTCCATTTAATCCTGGTTGGTTAAGAACGGGGTTCCCCTATTGGGTTATGAAAAAAGAACAATATATTGAGTAGTATAATCCTCGACTCCAACTAATTATCAACCAGCAGGGCTTTAGCAGCCACTGCTGGTTAGTTGGTCCCCTATCCTCAACGGCACCTGTGGTTTTGGCTTGACAGGTGCTGGAGCTTCTCTGAATTCGGGAGGCGCCTGGACTAGATATGAGAAATAAGGCCATTAACATATGGGGGTTTCCAATATATGGGGTGCCCCCAGCTCGCTGGATGGTTTATTACATGGAAAATCCATCTATAAATGGATGATTTGGGGGTACTCCTATTTCAGGAAACCTCCAAATATATATATATATATATATTATGTATATATATATATATTGGATAATGTAATTAGATACCTATATTAGATGTATAGTATATAATTCCATGTGTATTACAGTATCTATTATATAGTGCTAAATTCCTGGCCAAACAACTATTTTTCAGCAGGTTAGTGCATTTCACCACCTTATATCCATGTTTTGGTTGGGAGAAGTAGAATTACTTATATTTCACTAGGGTGAACTTAACGACGTACTAAGCAGGATGAACCAATTCGTTATCCTAAACTCTCCCAAAAATCCCACATAACACCACTTTTTTGGTGTTACCATCTGGTTATTTAACATAGCCATGGAAAATCCACCCATTTTTAATAGGTAAACCATGGCTATGTTAGTCATAACCAGAGGGTAGAGTCCCATTTCAATCCCATTCACAGATGATTCGTCCAATTTTTCTCCTTATTCTGATCCCTATAGTTGATAATGAAATCTGATGAACATCCCATTGAAACGCCTATGTTTTCCAATTTTTGATTGCGAAACAACTGGCTGATCCCATTGACATCCCATGGAAAACCCACCATTTTTCCAGTTTTTTATGTTTAAAATCCATGTAAAAACCCACTTAAATCCCATGAAGTCCAAGTAAGTCCCGTTTTTTCATACCATTTTCATCCATGTTTTATCCAAGTCATGAAGTGTTTTCCATCGGAAACCCACCATTTTTCGTCCACTGAAACCCCATGGGGCCTCCTCCAGTTCCACCATCAGCTCCGCATCCGCCGAAATTGGCTGCGGTGGCGCCACCTGCGTGGTGACTGTGGTGACTTTGGCTGTGAAATATCAATGGGATTATGATACAGATATATTATATAGATTTAATCTATAGTTAATGGGATTATCATATATAACTATATATATATATATAAAGAAATCATCTGGAAAAGTTGTGGAATATTATTGACATCTGGACAAGAAAAGTTATGGAAAGCTATGGGATAGTGAATAGTTATGTTTTGCTTTGCTGGTTACAAGGTGGTGCCCCCAAGATAGCCAAGTTGGTGAACATAACTCCAATTTCACTATGGTTTATAGGTGATATATCGAACTAGTCAAAGGGGGTTATAAACCATTCAACATATTCTGATATATCAACTGAAGTATACTCTTATCTTCATTTACTATGTAAAAAAGTAGCAATTCGTATATTCATACATGGTCAATCTCGGTAGTCCACAACAAAATGTAATCTTTTGCTGGTGATGGTTCTCTTCCATTTATGGAAAAAACTACCTATCCAAGGTTGGGAATGGTATGTATTCAACATGTTCTAATATACATCAACTGAAGTATCAATTCTGATATCATATAACACGTATATGATCAACTGTGATATTGTATGGACGTAAATGTTTTAATGAATCGTAGTTCAGATGGTTTATAACAGATGTTAAAATTATATTTTGATATACTTTGTAAGTGTGATATTGTGAAAAAACTTATGAAACTCATAATGTATCCATAGCCCTGATCAAATTCTGTTCGACACAGAATCAAGAATCAAACACAAGCTAAACTTCCATTTTAAACTCATATCATATATGGAAATAATGGAATGTATTATACCATGAAAATATGGTGACATTATACGTGGATTACATTAATAGCATTCTTTAAACTCACCTCCCCCATTTTCCTTGGTGGATGATTTGGAAAAATCCTCAGGAAAGAATCCATCAATCCTCACAAGCAGCCCACCTGTTGATGGGTCAACCCATCATGGCTATCACCTAAGAAAACCATCAATCAAAGTCTAAACCCTTGACATCTGCTTTTCCCAAATGCCAAACTGCCTTGGAATCCCATCGATGACTCTTATGGGGAAAATGATCATCCGAATCGTCAGATTTGGCACCCGGGACAAATCCAGAATCATTGGGAGAATTCATAAAAAATCATGGGTATTTACGGCTTTTAATGGTGATTAATCAGATACTTACCCGGCCTGGTAAACGTTTACATAACGAACTGGAACATCACCATGCTATTAATGGGCAAATCCACTATTTCTACGGCCATTTTCAATAGCAAACTGTTAGTTTACCAGGCCGGGTATAGGGTAAATTATGGGTTCATCGGATTTGTAATGAGTTTTAATGGTGATTGTAACCCAATGGATCCATTTTTAGTTCCTGCAAAGGCGCTTACTCTCTTGAATCATAGCCCAAACACACCCTCAGAAGGTATTTGGACCCATAGGTTGTGGGATTTTGGAGCGGCCCATTTTCAAGTAAACGCATGGGGTTCCGATTTATGGGGGTACCAAAAAATGGCTAAATGCTCTATTTCATGGAAAATCCCAACAAAAAATGGATGATGAGTGGGGGTACCTCCAAGACTTCGGAAAATCAACCGTATATATATATATATATCCACTTTAGTAATTTTTACCTTCTGGTTATTGAACATAGCCATGGTCAAAGGAAGTTTAGGGGGAGAAACTTCCGTGTTACGGACTTTTAGAATGTCAGGGAAAGAGTTAGTCAAAGAAAGAGTTAGCAAAGAAAGAGTTCGTCAGGGAAAGAGTTAGTCAAAGAAACAGTTAGTCAGGGAAAGAGTTAGTCAAAGAAAGAGTTAGTGAGGGAAAGAGTTAGCAAAGAAACAGTTAGTCAAAGAAAGAGTTATCAAAGAAACAGTTAGTCAGGGAAAGAGTTAGTCAAAGAAAGAGTTAGTCAAAGAAAGAGTTAGTCAGGGGAAGAGTTAGTCAAAGAAAGAGTTAGTCAAAGAAAGAGTTAGTCAAAGAAACAGTTAGTCAGGGAAAGAGTTAGTCAAAGAAAGAGTTAGTCAAAGAAAGAGTTAGTCAAAGAAACAGTTAGTCAAAGAAAGAGTTAGTCAAAGAAACAGTTAGTCAAAGAAACAGTTAGTCAAAGAAAGAGTTCGTCAAAGAAAGAGTTCGTCAAAGAAAGAGTTAGTCAAAGAAAGAGTTAGTCAAAGAAAGAGTTAGTCAAAGAAAGAGTTAGTCAAAGAAAGAGTTAGTCAAAGAAAGAGTTAGTCAAAGAAACAGTTAGTCAGGGAAAGAGTTAGTCAAAGAAAGAGTTAGTCAGGGAAAGAGTTAGTCAAAGAAAGAGTTAGTGAGGGAAAGAGTTAGTCAAAGAAAGAGTTAGCAAAGAAACAAGTTAGTCAGGGAAAGAGTTAGTCAAAGAAAGAGTTAGTGAGGGAAAGAGTTAGTCAAAGAAAGAGTTAGTCAAAGAAAGAGTTAGCAAAGAAACAGTTAGTCAGGGAAAGAGTTAGTCAAAGAAAGAGTTAGTGAGGGAAAGAGTTAGTCACAGAAAGAGTTTGCAAAGAAAGAGTTCGTCAGGGAAAGAGTTAGTCAAAGAAAGAGTTAGTCAAAGAAACAGTTAGTCAGGGAAAGAGTTAGTCAAAGAAAGAGTTAGTGAGGGAAAGAGTTAGTGAGGGAAAGAGTTAGCAAAGAAACAGTTAGTCAGGGAAAGAGTTAGTGAGGGAAAGAGTTAGTCAAAGAAAGAGTTTGTCAGGATATATGAGGTAGTCAAAGAATGAGTTTGCAAAGAAACAAGTTAGTCAAAGAAAGAGTTAGTGAGGAAAAGAGTCAGTCACAGAAAGAGTTAGCAAAGAAATTGTTCCCTCACTGTAAATGGCATTGCAAGTGGTGCTGGTGGAGGAGTTGCCGATGGAGTTTTGGAGGAAGTCTCGCACGAAATGCGTTTTTGAGAGATAGCAGATGCACGAAAGCCTATGTTTTTCCATACAAAGTCCGTCCCCGAACCTCGATGATCTACCTCTGCGGTGCGACGGTTGCGAGACGGTCTCGTGTGTGGTCGGATCATGCTCGGATCATGGTCGGATCATTCTCGGATATTCTCGGACCATGGTCGGATCGGTTCCGCATTGTAAATGGGGTTTCAACTGTTTTTCGTGCATGTGCGGTCGACAGAATTCCATTGTGATTTGCAACTGTATAGGATCGTTCCCGCATTGTAAATGGGGTTGCAAGTGGTGCTGGTGGATGAGTTGCCGATGGAATTCCATTGTGATTTGCAACTCTAGGATCGTTCCCCCACTGTAAATGGGATTGCAAGTGGTGCTGGTGGAGGAGTTGCCGATGGAGTTTTGGAGGAAGTCTCGCACGAAATGCGTTTTTGAGAGATAGCAGATACACGAAACCCTATGTTTTTCCATACAAAGTCCGTCCCCGAACCTCGATGATCTACCTCTGCGGTGCGACGGTTGCGAGACGGTCTCGTGTGTGGTCGGATCATGGTCGGATCGGTCTCGGATCATGCTCGGATCGGTTCCGCATTGTAAATGGGGTGTCACCTGTGTTTCGTGCATTTGTGGTCGACAGAATTCCATTGTGATTTGCAACTGTAGGATCGTTCCCGCAATGCAAATGGGATTGCAAGTGGTGCTGGTGGATGAGTTGCCGATGGAATTCCATTGTGATTTGCAACTCTAGGATCGTTTTCTCACTGTAAATGGGATTGCAAGTGGTGCTGGTGGAGGAGTTGCCGATTGAGTTTTGAAGGAAGTCTCGCACGAAATGCGTTTTTGAGAGATAGCAGATGCACGAAACCCTATGTTTTTCCATACAAAGTCCGTCCCCGAACCTCGATGATCTACCTCTGCGGTGCGACGGTTGCGAGACGGTCTCGTGTGTGGTCGGATCGGTCTCGGATCATGGTCGGATCATGCTCGGATCGGTTCCGCATTGTAAATGGGGTTTCAACTGTTTTTCGTGCATGTGCGGTCGACAGAATTCCATTGTGATTTGCAATTGTAGGATCGTTCCCGCAATGTAGATGGAATTGCAAGTGGTGCTGGTGGATGAGTTGCAGATAGAATTCCATTGTGATTTGCAACTGTAGGATCGTTCCCGCAATGCAAATGGCATTGCAAGTGGTGCTGGTGGAGGAGTTGCCGATGGAATTCCATTGTGCTTTGCAACTGTAGGATCGTTCCCGCAATGTCTAGAAGGTTTCAAATGGTTCGGTGGACGAGCTGAGGACGTAATACCATTGTGTTTTGCTAGGGATTGTTGCTAATCGCATTGTAATGGCTGCGTGAACTTGCTGCAGCTGGATTCTTTCAGATTTTGCCTGCTTTCATTTTCTATTTCAATTCTTTATAAAAAACGCTTCAAAAATGAACTTTTTCTGCTCTGGCGTCGAGATCCGGTTTTGGAGCTACAATTTCCGACGCCGTTGCGCGTAGTTCTATTGTGTTTTGCAACTCAGTCTCTGCAGATCGCATTGTAATGGCTGCGTCAAGGTTGCTTCCTGCTGTGGCTGCATTCGTAATACTATTGTCTTTTGCAGCTGGACTTCGTAAATCGTATTGGAGTGGCTGCATGAAGGCTGCGACAGTGATTTGTCAGCAGATTTTCTCCATTTTGGCGCTAGTGATTTTCCTTCTAAAAATCCTTTTTAAAAAGTGCTTCAAAATCGTCTTTTTTTCGCTCTGGCGTCGAGATCCGGTTTTGGAGCTACAATTTCCGACGCCGTTGTGCGTAGTTCTATTGTGTTTTGCAACTCTGTCTCTGCAGATCGCATTGTAATGGCTGCGTCAAGGTTGCTTCGTGCTGTGGCTGCATTGGTAATACTATTGTCTTTTGCAGCTGGATCTCGTAAATCGTACTGGAGTGGCTGCATGAAGGCTGCCACAGTGATTTGTCAGCAGATTTTCTCCATTTTGGCGCTAGTGATTTTCCTTCTAAAAATCCTTTTAAAAGTGCTTCAAAATCGTCTTTTTTTCGCTCTGGCGTCGAGATCCGGTTTTGGAGCTACAATTTCCGACGCCGTTGCGCGTAGTTCTATTGTGTTTTGCAACTCAGTCTCCGCAGATCGCATTGTAATGGCTGTGTCAAGGTTGCTTCATGCTGTGGCTGCATGCGTAATACTATTGTCTTTTGCAGCTGGACTTCGTAAATCGTATTGGAGTGGCTGCATGAAGGCTGCCACAGTGATTTGTCAGCAGATTTTCTCCATTTTGGCGCTAGTGATTTTCCTTCTAAAAATCCTTTTAAAAAGTGCTTCAAAATCGTCTTTTTTTCGCTCTGGTGTCGAGATCCGGTTTTGGAGCCACAATTTCCGACGCCGTTGCGCCTAGTTCTATTGTGTTTTGCAACTCCGTCTCTGCAGATCGCATTGTAATGGCTGCGTCAAGGTTGCATCGTACTGTGGCTGCATTCGTCATACAATTATTGTCTTTTGCAGCTCGACTTCATAAATCGTCTTGGAGTGGCTGCATGAAGGCTGCGAAATAATTTTGTTAGCAGATTTTCTCCATTTTCGCACCAGTGTTTTTTTTGTTGCGCGTAGGTTTAGAGCAGTGGGAAGTGTGGGGCGTAAAGAGTGCAGTGTGAAGTGTGAAGTGTGAAGGAAGCAGTGGGAAGTGAAAAGTGTGAAGTGTGGAGTGTGAAGTTTCAGTTTGGAGTGCGAAGTGAGAAGTGTGAAGTGTGAAGTTTGGAGTGTGAAGTTTGGAGTGGGAAGGAAGCAGTGAGAAGTGAGAAGTGTGAAGTGTGGACTGTGAAGTGTGAAGTGTGAAGTGTGAGGTTTGGAGTGTGAAGGAAGCAGTGAGAAGTGAGAAGTGTGAAGTGTGGACTGTGAAGTGTGAAGTGTGAAGTGTGGAGTGTGAAGTTTCGGTTTGGAGTGCGAAGAGCGCAGTGTGAAGTGTGAAGTGTGAAGTGTGAGGTTTGGAGTGTGAAGGAAGCAGTGAGAAGTGAGAAGTGTGAAGTGAGAAGTGTGAAGTGTGAAGTGTGAGTGAAGTGTGGAGTGTGAAGTGCGAAGTGAGAAGTGTGAAGTTTGGAGTGTGAAGTTTGGAGTGGGAAGGAAGCAGTGAGAAGTGAGAAGTGTGGACTGAGAAGTGTGGAGTGTGAAGTGCGAAGTGAGAAGTGTGAAGTTTGGAGTGTGAAGGAAGCAGTGAGAAGTGAGAAGTGTGAAGTGAGAAGTGTGAAGTGTGGACTGCGCAGTGTGGAGTGCGAAGAGCGTAGTGTGAAGTGTGAAGTGTGAAGTGTGAGGTTTGGAGTGTGAAGGAAGCAGTGAGAAGTGTGAAGTGTGGACTGTGAAGTGTGAAGTGTGAGTGAAGTGTGGAGTGTGAAGTGCGAAGTGAGAAGTGTGAAGTGTGAAGTTTGGAGTGTGAAGTTTGGAGTGGAAGGAAGCAGTGAGAAGTGAGAAGTGTGAAGTGTGGACTGTGAAGTGTGGAGTGTGAAGTGCGAAGTGAGAAGTGTGAAGTTTGGAGTGTGAAGGAAGCAGTGAGAAGTGAGAAGTGTGAAGTGAGAAGTGTGAAGTGTGGACTGTGAAGTGTGGAGTGTGAAGTGCGAAGTGTGTGAAGTGTGAAGTGTGAAGTTTGGAGTGTGAAGGAAGCAGTGAGAAGTGAGAAGTGTGAAATGTGGAGTGTGAAGTGTGAAGTGTGAAGTGCGAAGTGAGAAGTGTGGACTGTGAAGTGTGAAGTGTGAAGACTGTGAAGTGTGAAGTGTGAAGTGTGGACTGTGAAGTGTGAAGAGTGTGAAGTGTGAAGTGTGAAGTGTGAAGGAAGCAGTGAGAAGTGAGAAGTGTGGAGTGTGAAGTGTGGAGTGTGAAGTTTGAAGTTTGGAGTGCGAAGAGTGCAGTGTGCAGTGTGAGGTGTGGAGTGTCGAGGGAAGGACACGGTCGGGACAGGTTGTCTTGGAACTATAGGTCATTTATGTTTGGGAAACTTCCGCCCCCGGCTTGCCCGGGTCTATGTTATAGACGGCACATAGAAATAGATGATTTTCCCAGCTAGGAACCTCCATTGATAAGGGATTTTCCAGTGGCTGTGTTAGTTAGAACCAGATGGTAAAAATTACTAAAGTGGATATAAATGATTGATTTTCCTAAGTCTTGGAGGTACCCCCACTTATCATCCAGTCTTTTATTTTGGCATTTTCCATGGCTATGTTAGTCATAACCAGATGGTAAATCACCATTAATTCACTATTAGCCATTAATAACTTCCATTAACCACCATTAATCACTATTAATCACCACTAATCAACAACTTTGGGCATCCCCCATAACAAAACGGACACCTCCACATCTCCCACCTCATCCAACTCGACCATGAGATCTGTATCCCAGGGCAGCTCACTTGGAACTGATCTTTGCGGCGCCTGGCTGTAAATGGTGATGAAAAAACCAAGGAAAACGGTGGTTTAACGGTTTAAGCTTCAAAAAATGGTGGTGTAACTATCCAAAATGGTGTTTTAACGTGTTGTAACCTGATTTAACTAACAACAATAGCTTGGTTGAAAGGAACATGTACAAGAAACCATCATTTCCCCAGTAAATTGTGGGTTTTTCCTATGCCATTCTGGGAGGCTTGATCAAGAACAAAGCTGGGATGTCATGGGCCAAAGTTGGGAGATACTTGGGAAACCCCAAGAGATTGATAGCTTCTAATCCACCTGCAAATATTCTCGGTGGACAACTATGGATATGTAAACCGGATTAAGCCGCCTATAGCCCACCTATGAACAACCTGTAACCTGTAACCCACACTCCCCGACGTTGCATGTGGCCCTTCGGGGACCACCAGTTTCAGAAAAGAAGTTGGTCGACTATTGTTCCGGGGCTTACCCTCTGGTAAACGTCTACATAGCTATAGAAATCACATGTTTTAATGGGTAAATCAACTATTTCGACTGGGCCATTTTCAATAGCGAACTGTTAGTTTACCAGAGGGTATATACGACTCAATATACACGTGAACATCATAGCCCGTGAGCTGGGAATACGGGAAAGGAATCTTTATTGAGCAATATTGAGCAACCAGGTAACCATTACTTCGATTTTTCCTTTGGTTTTGTGACACAGTGCACATGTAGATAGCTTCCAAGCATGACAAAATACAATGTCCCCAAATGATCTCCATAGTTTCTATTGTTGAACCAAGTGGTTGACCAAGAGCCCGGAAAAGTTCTCGCCGTTACCCAAACAGGATGGTGAGCTCTACTTCAACGACTGAAGCCGCGCAGAGTCGAGCAGGGTCTGCGCACCCCAGTCACGATCCGCGGGGAACAACCAAACAAGCTATTTATAAATGGACATATAGGATTGCCCCCCCAATTATAAGTTGGTTTACAAACCACAAAAAACTACTTCGTTATATCAGTTATATCTACCATAAAGCATAGAATCATAGAATTGAGCCATTCTTTATTAGCAACGCTTCACGCTATCTTGAGGGGCCCCATCCTGTACCCCAGTCCATTGCATCTTCGATACCTTCAACGCCTGCAACAGGTCCAACTCCTCTACCGTCTCGGCGGGAACCGCGAGAACCTGCGTTGTCAATACGCAGGAGGGTAAAATACGCCGATGAATTCCAATGTGTACATCTATATCTATATCTATACCTATATCTATCTATCTTTCTTTCTATCCACCTATGCATCTATCTATCTATCTATCGTTCTTTCTTTCTATCTACCTATGCATCTATCTATCTAACTACAGTATCTGTGTGTCTGTCTATCTAGCTACCTGCCTATCTACCTATCTACCTGTCTACCTATCTACCTATCTACCGATCCATCCATCCATTCATCTATCTTTCTGCCTGTGTATCTATCCATGCATTTACCTAAAATATACATGTATATATTCCTATATATAGTTATATATATATATACAGTTCTATACATGGCATTTGTGTGCATTATGTAGTGTATGCCTACAATCTGCAAACATGAAAAACAACAACATATAGCTTCAATTGTCCTATCATATGAATTTTGTGCATTTCACATCAAGTGGGACTTCCTGCAATACATGCACCCAAGAAAAAAACACAACACTACCCTCAGGTAAACTAACAAAACTATGGAAAATCACAATATTTATTGGATAATTCAACTATAAATTGCCATTTTCAATAGCTATGTTAGTTTACCAGAGGGTAGTCGTATCCATTGATGTTGGTTCTTTACCACAATTAGTGCAGGTCCTGTTCAAAAAAAACGGTACAGTTAGCGGAGGGCACTACATTTCCAACATTCCATCCGGGCAATGCTGCGTAGTATATTTGAATAATGCGTTATACATTTTGTCAAAATGGGCATTGTCGGGTATGAACCAAGGCAATACAAACTAATGCCCATTATGGGAAAACCCTTTGAATCTCATGATATTGGCCAAAAAAACAAGGTTATCTCAACTGCCATCCTCAGTAGCATTTGGAATGCCATTATTGGATTAGCCATTCTTGCATTTTCCTCAGTAGCATTTGGGATTGGGAATGCCACCATTGGATTATCCTAAAATTCCTAACCATTTTCATTGGTATCATCCCAGTAAGTGATTCATAACCCTTCTATAACCGGGGATATTCCACATATAACTGTGTTATAATATCAATATGGTGCAATATGCGGGTTTCCATAAATACCCGAAAATGGGTGGTTTGTAGTGGAAAATCCTGTTAAATTGGATGAGTTGGTGGTACACCCATGACTTATAGCCACTTACAAATGGCTATACCATGCCATCTATAAAGCAATTTATATAATAAATGGTTTACCTAAGCCGCTTAAGCCTATACCCGAATATAACCTCCATCCATGAAATACCCTGTTTGGCTATACCCATCCAACCAGCCTATACCCGGCTGCTGAGACGCTCCGAAGTCAGTAGCTTTTATGGATGGTTTCCCAGGTCATGGGGTACCCCCAAGCTCGCTGGATGGTTTATAATGGAACATCCGAAAATCAAATGAATGATTTAGGGCTACCCCCATGATATATATATATATATTCTATGTACATGTATATAATTTTGGCCACAAATATGTGTATATAGTGTGTATATATATACATGTTTATGTACATGTTTGTGACTAATATATCTATACGCTGCACCATTCCCCCAGCCCGCAAGGTATCCCTTCAGCAGAAGGGGAAAGTAAATTCCAGTCCCGGAATAATTTGCATCTTTTCCGTGGGAGTTACTAACTATAATGTGCGTAAAACAATAACAAACCATCCATTTGGGAATGGTTTGTACCACCTATAAAAAGAGTGATGACTGGGGGGTGGTTTATGACATTGTTTTACCCACATTATTACATTATTTTCACATACCAAAGGGGAATTACCCCTATAAATCAACCATGTTTGGGTACTGTTAACCATATATAATCCATATTTATGACATTGTTTTACCCACATTAGAAATAATCTTCAGACTTCGTGGCACCTTGTGGTTTCCCAGTCGCCCACAAAACGCCTCTGGGCTGTGGCTCTTGAGCCAGTCCCAGCGAAGTTCCTCGAAGGTGACGTATGGAACTTTTCCTCGGTTTAGCCATGCACAAAGAGGGGCGAACAAGATCATCGGATAACATGGCATAACGTGGTGGACATCTAAACCATTACTAGATAATATATGATAATATGATCCTATAGTTGAATCAACTATCTATGCTTCTAATGGGATAGTACGATATTATATGAGATAACATAGTGGTTTACTAAAACATTGCGAATTGCGAGATAATATGGTTGCATAGCTGTGTTAATCTGCTTCTAATGAAGTAAAAGATATGAGATATTATGGTGGAAAAGCTGAAATATTGCCAGATAATTGCTTCTAACATGCCAATGGGGCAATACCAGATAACCTGGAATATGATATCGACGATATAATAATAATATCGGGTAATTTTGCCACTTGGATCTGTGGGACCCAGAAATGATCTGTGTAAAGGTTAGAATTCATACATTCCTATTGTTGCTGTGAAAAAACATATTAGTCCCATCAGTATCCCATTCATATGGTAAAACATCAACGAGAGACATTACATTAGATCTTGGCAAATCAACACATTTCACTCACCTGAACAGCCATTTGGTTATGATTGCCTCTATACTAAAACCATGCCAGGCTTGGGTCACAGGGTGACCGGTCACTAGAAGTTGTTACCGTGGAGGGGTGGCTCGCGAGACTGTTTCACAAGGCTCAGGGTCCATGACAGAATCGTCGACTTGTGCACGTCGACAGAATCGGGAAAGTTGACATGCGTTCGCTTTCCGCTATTGGCAAGAAGTGTCCTCTATATCTTTTTTAACAAGAGACACCGTTTTTGGGGCTCCACATAGAGCTCTTGCCCAAGGTTACACAGAAAGGGGAGCAGTTTCAAACAACACAGTTCTGGGTAAATTATAATATTTCACTATATAACCTGAATTAAGGCCATTTCGGGATGATTCCCCTTACTAACCATGATTTCCAGTGAGGTCGCAGTGAGGTCGCTATAATTTACCCTCTCAATCGCAGCTGGGAGTCACAGCCTAACAATGTGAGACTGCGCCCAAAACTGCCACCGTCTTGGTGGCATTTGATGGCTTCCGTTGCAACTCTAAGATGATCCAAAACTAATTAATTGTAAAGGCTTCTTTCGCCACTGTCGCATGTCCTTGAGTTTTTTTCGGGCAGCCATCGCCCGGTTCTTCCATTCACCCTTCAGGTCCTCCTTCAAAACCTTGTATTGACCTTCAGACATGATCCAATCAACGTCCGGAATCGCAGTGATGGCTGTTCCTTGATGGTCACGTAGGAAGGGTCGAAGCACATCGTGCACCCAAGCTTGATAGGGAAAGGATGGGCGCTGAGCAAATCCACTAGTGAAGATCTGAGCCCCTTGCACAAACAAAGATTTCACAAGTTTCCTGTCGTAACAAGGCCAGATATCAGTTGATAACAAACCAGTGAACTGCAAATAAAAGATGGCAAAGGTATTGGCAAACTCTGAGAACTTCACTCCGTATGCCTCAACCTGCTGTCGACTTTTGAAGGGAATCAAGTGTTCCCTACCATGGTTATCACTCCTTCGCAATGGGAAAAACATCTCTGAGTACCGCATGAAGGATAAAACCAGTTCGTACCACGAAATACCTATGGTGGCAAGCTCATCATTGCTCGCTTCTTTGGGCCAACGAAACTGCTGCATCCAACTGAGCATATGTGCTGCTATCGTAGGTCCCCAGGCAGTATGGCGTGTCCAGTTAAGAACAATGTTAGGAGCAACCCAACAGTCCACCACATGGTATTCTTTGAGAGCATCCCATTTGGATGTTTGAACCGGTTCAAGAGTGTCTTCTTTCTTCTGTTCTTGCTGCAGTTGCGCCATTCGCTTTTGTGCATCTAGGTGGAATTCGAAAAGCCTCCTAAGGTGTGTCTGTTGCTCCCATTGGTTAAGGCAAGCCTCCTCAAGTGTAGCTACAACCCCAGGAAAACAGTGTTTACAAGCATGGATAGCACTGTCATTGGCCAACTTATTACCCAGGTGCATGTACTGCTGCAAAAGTGACAGATCGGTTCGTCCTTCAGCATGAGCCTTGATTTTGTGAAAGGTCCTACTCCCCAAATGCCAAACCCGCCAAAGCCTGATCAGCAAATCAAAATAAGGTGCTGCTGCTAGTTCACTTATATCTGTTGCTGTTTCCTAAAGCCGTAGGAGCCGCAGTGTGGTGGCAGAATCAGTGTAGATAACAGTGTTACAATACCTTTCCATAACCACTACAATGGCAAAAATTTCGGCTCGGTGGATGTCTTGCAGGCCAGGTAGCCTGCCGGCAATCAAGGTTTTCAGGCTAGCTGGCATCTCACCAGTTTGTTGATACTGTATGACTTGGTGGCAGCGTTCAGCATCCGAGGTGGCACAGTCAAGTGCCACCGCAAAGGCCGCATATCTGAACTCTGGCAAGGAAGGATGAAAACAAGACCCATCTGTAAACATGGTTATGGCATGGCCTCGTTGGTCCAGGGATTGCAAGTGAAAATGCAAGTTGGCTTCAATCTGCGGTTCGACTTGGAGCCATTGCACTGTGAAAAGGCATTCTCTGGCTTCATGGCAAAAAACCACTGGCAAATCCCCCATTGCTGACCCTGACTGCTCAATCCAATCAAAGGTTGATTGGTGCTTGGTTCGGAGGTCTTGGAGTGCCTGACAAGTCAGTGCTCTATGCTCTCTGGTGTCAAGTTCACCACAGTGTTGGCATCTAGGATCTACCAGGTCATCCCAGGCTGCTTGTTGTGACCTGGTTTGAAAGGCCCCAGCTATTTCATTAACTAACTTGACTTGCTGTGCAGAGTTAAACTTTCGCAACACCTGTACAGTGGATAAACGGCATATGGGCGGCAAACCTCGAAGTGCCTTTCTGTCAGTGAATGTCATGATTTGGTCCTGCCACTGCATCTGACACAGGCGCAACAGGGTGTTGATCCCGATCTCCAGGAATGGAAGCTGGACAAACCCATTGATCGCAAGGATGCCTTTCCTACCCAACTGCCATCCAAACTTACACAAGTGGTATTTAAGAACCCCTGCCGGTCCCTTGCATTCATGCGCAGCCCCGTTGTGACAGGCAACCATGTTAAAGAATCTTTCCTTTTCTATGGCTGTGGCTCTGAGAAGGAATCTCCTAGCTGAAAGGATTACTCGTTGCATCAGAACTAACTGGGGATCCTGCACTGCGGGGGTGCAGTGAATGGCAATGGCTGAGTTCCTACTGACACTGGCCCCAAAGAGTGCATTAGCTACTGCAGTTCTTAACTGGTCCATGTGTTGGCTGCCAACAGGAACAAGTTCCATACCGTACAAGGCCACTGGATAGATCCCAGCTGTGATGAGGCGCGCTTTGGAGTGCAGTGGCTCAACTTGTCCCTCCAAACGTTGGAGGCGTCTATTGGCTTTTTGCAACCGGTCCCTAAGCTTGCCCAAACGTGAATTACCTCTGTAGGTTAACTGTGCCCCAAGGTCCATTGCTGAAAGCATTTCAGGGACATGTTCTTCAGGTGCTTCTTTTTTGACTGCTGCTTTCAAAGTGGAGATGTGTTCTTTGTGAGTGCTCCACAACCATGATTTGCGCCAATCAATGATCATGTTGAGAAATTCTGCCATTTCCTTGGTAGCCCTTAAGGCTGGTGCATGTTGGGACGCAATGGTGGTACTCCAGCCCCAATTGTCCGCAAAAGCACTGGGCGCCAAGGCATTGGTATGTCGCTGAATATGTTGAATCCAGGCATATGCGATGGCTAGCATAGCAGTTACACTCATGGGATCTCCCTCAGGCAAACCATTGTTAGTGGTGCAGGGTAAGTTATTTAACCCTTGAACAGTCCATGTGCGTGTCAGGTTATCGAGTGAACTTTTCCAAACCTGTATCACACTAACTGGTATTCCAATGGCTTGCATGATCATACCTGCACTGTTTCTACAAATGGTATTGAAGCATCTTTTGAGATCAAGGGCAAAACCTGACTGACAAGTCCCCGTAGCATGGGCCCATTCCAAGAGAAACTGCTGGCAATACGTGGCATCGCCAGGGCCCCGGCCAGGCAAGAATCCGGTGACTTCCCGCGGCATTTTTTGGCTTAGCTTTTTGAGCAAGACTCGGGTGATCACTTTACTCCAAAGTCGATAACATTGGGCTAAGACAGTGATGGGCCTATACTCATGGATACGGGGTTTATCCACTTTTGGAACAGGGGTAGTTTTTGCTATCATCATCCAAGGGGGAAAAACCGAAAGGTCTAGCAAGATATCTTTTAGGTGGTCAATAGCCTGGATTGGGAGGCTTTGTAGCTCTGACGCACTAATTCCATCTATGCCTCGTGCACTTTTGGGATTGAGTGTGCGCACTGCTTGGTACCACTCTTGGCTATCCTGGTAGTCTAATTGTTGGTCTCCCAAAAGGTTGGGGGGGTAATGGATCATTTGGTGAAAGGCAGCAGGTGGCTGCAATTTTTCCCTGGGCAGGGTCCAGTATTGGTCCCAATATTGCTGCAGGGCCTCCATTACCGCATTGGGGTGTGTGATGACAGTGTTTTGAACTATCTCACACTGCTCTAGTTCAGGCAATTCTCCATGCAGTCTTACTGTTAAGCAATGACTATCTTGTGCTACCATGGTGGCTGGAATGTCATGTACATGTAAGATCGCATCTGGCTTAAACTGGGCAGCACTGTGACAGTAAACCAAGGTGGTGTCATCCGGTTGTGGTACGGTGATGGCTGTGTCCACAAGTTGGTTTTGGATGTCATATACACCCGGTTGGGTCGGGTCACGAATGCGGGCAAATGCTCTGGAATTCCCTTGACACTTATAATCCAAACTACGTCTGTATTCAACCTTATCTTTCCATCTCTGTTTGTCAATCCAGAGTGAATGATTGGTGTCATGCTTGGCAAACTGAAGGATTAAGTCAAGGACAGCAGGATTTGGTAATCGCACTGGGAGAGGTCCTATTTCAGGAATATTTTGTGCCCAACGCAAAAAATTACTCTGAAAAGCCTTACATTTTTGGATGGCATGCCACAAATCCCATGCTTGAACATGCTGTGCCTGCTGCCAGTCCCCCTTACGCAGGAGATAAAGCAAGGCCTGCAGCCGTCTGATTTGCTTAACTTTGGCCTGTGTGTTGTACGTGTGAACCTCAACATCTGGCTGGTAGTCACCTGGGCGACCCTGTTTGAAGTGTGACTTGATTGGCAATTTCACAAGTGGTGCTGGTTGGCATCGTCCACGGTATCTTTTGGGCATGCTGATTGTGTTTTGGAAGCTACAATCTTTTTCTTTCATCTGGAACCAGCGGTAGGCCAAATCGGCTGCTTGTTCCACCTGCTGGCCCCATGCAGTGAGGTCTGTTGGCGGACCCTGTTGTTGCGTCACAGCATGATAAGCTTCATGCAACGCATTATCATGCATTGGCAGCTTCAAAAAGGTCTCAGGCATGCGAAAACACTGGACAAAAGCATCATCGGCACCAAGCTTCAAGTCGAATGTCACAACTTTATGAGTATCAAAGTATTCATCAGGAAGCACCTGAACAGCTACAACCGAACTTATGATACGGGGGCAAAAAAGGGCATTGTCAGGGTATGTTACACCCCGGCATGTTGGCGGCATCTGCTGACCATAGATACTTTGATAAGCATCACGAAGGTCCCAATACCCTTGTTGTTTAAGTTGCCCTCCGGCAGCCCATTTGAAAGGATCCCCATTAAAATCCCCCAAGAAAATGCAAGGCAGTGGTAACAAATGGCTGGCCTGTATGGCGGCTTCAAGAAGATCATTGTTGAATGTTCCTGTACCATTTGCAGTCGTGGGCAATGCATAGATGATGAGGATTTGAATGTCTATTTTACCCAGGGTAACGACGACATGTAGAATCCTAGATGTGGCTTCCCATTCCGGTGGTATGGTGCCCTGTGCCATTCTGATACGGTGGTTGGACAAACAGGCAACTCCAGCTGCTTTACCTCTTTTTGAGGCAGTACCATCTGTTTTAGGCCTGTGATCAGAAACAGGGGTCGACCATATTGTTCGGCGACAGGCAGGTCTGATTGCATTTGCAAAGCTTTGCTGTGCGATTTGAGTCGCCGAGGTTTCCGAGGCTGTGACTACATCAAGCTGGTGTTGTGCAATCAACTGCTTATATACCTGAGCTTTGGAGTAAATACTCGTTGGATTGGTTATGGCAAACCTGAAGGTGGCGTCTGGACATGGTCCTGGGTTGGCAGCTTCTCCCAGTCTGTGCAACTTGGCATAACTACCCCAGGATGGTGCCAAAATGGCAGGTCGAGAAAAACTCTGGGCTGTACATGTCGAATCATCTAGTGAGTGCTGTTCAAAAGATTGTACATGAGAAATTGCAATACTAGGCATTCCATCTTCTTCGAAATGGCAAAAGTGTGAGTAGACCCCCAGGTCTCGGCCGCCACCTGTGACGCACTGGTGACATTCTGCAGAATGTTTTTGACTCTCAGTGTTATGGCTACCAGGTGTTTCGGACCAGCAAAAAAACTGGGACTGAGTACCACAAAAACCACTTTTACAGGAGCCCCGGAAACTTATGGGCTGATGGCAAACGTTTGGCACCTCGGGTGTTTGAACATCTCTGTTTGGAGAGATGATTTGAATTAAATGCACATCTTCCAGTGGCTAGTCAATCATCCATGTCCTCAGCATCGGCTGGTGCTGATCTTTTGTTGTTCATGAACAGATGTTTGAGCTCCTGGAACTTCTCGTCCATCGTTGCTTGGTAATGATGCATTGATTTCGTGAGAGCAGTATCAACGGTATGCTCAATATGCTTGAGCGCTTTGTCCATTTTGCAAAGGTTGTCCTGCTCACGTTGGGCTGCTTGTTTGAGTTGGCTTTCCACATGCTTTGTGTGGACTGCCTGTGCCTGCGTCAACTGGTCAATGCTGGCCTGCATCGTGGCAATCTTGGCATCCTGCTCCAGGAACCTTTTCTCTGTGGGCCCCTGTTGTGGTGGCATGGCTGAGCTTGTTGTTTTGGATACACCCTTGTGTGGGCCATAGTTTGCCCATGGATCTTGACCCAATTCCAAGTGCCAGGGATCAGCATGTGCAGTTGCTTGTGGCTTGGGGCGAGGGCCTAACAATATCTTCTCTGGACCTTGCTGGTCCCTCGGCGGCAGCAATCTGGCTAGGATGGGGTTTGAATTGAACATTGAGATGCCTTCAGGAATGTCAGCCTCTGCTCGAACCAACCAGGTTTGTGGTCCAAGGGCACGGATGGGGCATGCATCCCACTTCATTGTCTCAACCCAGTTCTGCAACATAAGCTTCGTGCAACCAAAAGGGAGGTTCTGCAGCTTGTACACTTTATCCCCTGGTGTGTTTTGGGGGGGGGTGACTCCCGGCATCAAAACTGCCCATGCTGCGTCATATTTGTCCTGGTGGAATCTCAATCCATAACCCTTACCTTGTCTACCCCTCACTAGGCCAACGCAAGCCTGGCACTTGGTGGAGAGTGATGTGATCTTTGGAACATCACCAGGGATCCAAATGACTTTGTATGCCGGATTCAACCTACCAACCTGTGTCTTTGGCGTGAGGAACAAACGGTTGAAACCTGACCTGATGAGAAGTCTTTCCATCATGGCATCCTCTACCGTCATATGTACCTGAACAGTCATGGCTTGGATCGGGGTTGCAGGTGAGCGATTATGACGCAAGGATTTGCCCCAAACCGCTTGGATGCCCATGGACAGGCCTTCTGATTCCAACTGCTTTCTCACAAATGTCACCGGGTTGGTGGTGATTGACCTCCAGTCATCCTCTTGCCAATCTTCCCTGTACATGGTAACCGCTACGAGACTACAGGTTTCCGATGGTACTTGTTTCGGATCACCTTGCTTGTGCTGAATGGCCTTTGCTCCAAGCTGGATCATCGTGGCATTGATGAGCACCATTTGATGGTCATTGTTGAGACACGGAAAAGTGACTTCTTCCGAAACCAGGGCACTATGCACATTGATTGGGCCAACTACAAGCACTCCTAGTTCATCGGCACTAATCTTCTGTCCCTCTCTCACCCACACTTCGGCCTGTGATGGTGTTTGGATGCAGATGCCACTTGCCTGTGGTACAATTTGGTTGACCTGTGCCAAGGTTGAGCCATCCTCTTTGGTGAAAAATCCATCAACCAAAGTATAGTCAGCTGGATTGAGCTTGAAATCCAAGGCACGTTTTTCCTCTTCTGACTGGCGGACCCAGGCAGCTCATTGCCTGACTTTGACTTACCAAGGTCTGGGATGGTGATTCCTGCGTCTTTGCATAACTGCAGAATGGCCTGGATCTTGGCACCACCCATTGGCTGTGCATTGATGGTTTGGAGCTTGCCTAAGCCATACTTGTCCATGATTGTGTCAACTGTTTTGGTAGTCCAGGCAAGGTTGAATCCATGGTCAAGAAGGGTGCTGGCAAGTGCGTTCTGTTGGACTGCTCGCTGTTGCATCTTGGTACCCTGTCCACCTCCACGAATGGCCATGACTGCATGGATCAGCAGATCTTTCCTTTTGGGATCTCCAGGGAGCGATGCAATGTTCATTTCCATAGGGACTTGCTGTCCTTGGCAAATCATGCGGAATGCCGTTGTGAAGCCCCATGGTGCAAAGCAATATCTCAGGATGCATTCAATGGTACCCAGGTTGGTGGATGACAAAAGCTTTCCATGCCACACTGGTCTTCCTGCCCATTTGAGTGTGACAAGTCTGGCAGGTTCCTGGTGTTCATCCGTTTCAAGGGAGTCCAAGAGCGTCCTTGCTGCTGCAATGGATATGGCGATGAGAAATGAGTTCGGTGGTGCAACTCCATTTTCTCGGGTTGGTCGGAAAGTTAAATCTCCATTGTTATTCTTCTCAGCCTTCCTCCCCAACATGTTGAGTGAGTGTGCTGTCAGGGCAAAAGAGAAGAATTGACACATGAAATCCACTGCAGGTTTTGGTCCATCGAAACTGGCATAGATTTGATTGGTCTGTTTGCAAACGTGCCATGTCATGCTGGTCTGTGTGAACGCTGCCAAGACAAAGACTAACTCTCGTGAGTTGACTCCATGCGTCAATGGCTCCATGAACAACAAAGTGCCGTAGTCAGTGGTTTGTCCTGCTGACAAGGGTCCAAACTGGTCATATAAGACCCCTGACAAGGTCTGGATGTGTTGCTGTTCCAACAGGGGCACCTGGGGCTCAACTTTGAGGAGAGTCAATTCATCATCAATCAAGACCTGAGCACAGTTTCTTGGCAGTGCGACGGATGTCTCATCTTGCAACTTCGCTTTGGTCGGATCCAGGCTGGCAATGGTGGTCTCTTGCCAGTCACTAAAGGTGCAGCAGGGCCCCAATTCCCATACTCTCTCAAGATGCGTTCCTGGAATGTCCGCTGCAAACCAAAATATCTCATGGTATTGTTGCCAATGGATTGATCCTTTCAGCACCGGCTGGAGCTGGATGGAATCCGGAATGGTGGGAGTCTCAGATCCTACCGTGATTGGGGAATGGGTACCTTCCGGCTGGTGGACGTTAGTGCTTTCCTCAGGGTCAAGGTCCACTTCCTGTGACTGCATGTCTTCTTGTTTGATCAATTGGCCAACATGACCATGAGAGCAAGTGTCATCCCTGGGGCCCGTGCAGTGCCGTTTGGCAGCATGATCATTTCTGGCTTCACCTGAAAGCTCGGTATTTTCATCATCCTGGTTGGAGTCCAGTTCAGTGGCAGTCACATGTGAATCTCCAAATGGGGAGGGGCCCCCACACCCTAAGCGTGGAAGGGGCTTGGCCTGAAAGAGGGTGGGCGGGTCATGAATGGCGGCATGCATTGGATCAGCTACTGTGTTGAGGTTACGGCAGCTACTGGATGCCTCGTTGGCATGCAAATTTCGAGTGAAGTCATCCTGATGGGCATCTCCCAAGTTCCGATACACTGCCATTGGCAGGGCTTCTGGCATACCTGTGTGGGAAATTGGCGGCGATGTCATCCAACGTTCCTGGGTGGGTCTTGGCTGGTCTGCATTGTCACCTGTGTGGGAAATTGACTGCGGGACCATCCAACCTTCCTGGGCAAATCGTGGTTGATCTGAATTGTCAATCTCCGGACTCCTACTACTGGCAGTAGGTTCTTCACGGTACACTGCTGGACGCAGGGCATGGGCAGAATCCTTGGAATGGAGATTTGGTTCCCCAGCTTTTCCCTCATGACACACTGCATCCATGTTATGGGTGGGGCCCCCACACCCTAAGCGTGGAAGGGGCTTGGCCTGAAAAAAGGGGGATAAGGCGGGTGCTGTCCCATGTTGGGTCTGATGATCCATGGTATCAGCAACATAGGGAATCTTCTTGGGATATTCCTTGTTTTCTGCATGTCTGGATTCTGTCGGTTGCATGACCTGCGTGACATGATTTGCCAAGACATTGCCTGGAGAAACATCTTTTGCATCTGGATTTACTGCAGGGCTCAGTGCGGAGTTGTTGCTATCGAGATAGCCTGGTACCACTGATGTGCCGTCCCCACATTGATCACCTACCGTTCGGTACACTGTCGGCGACAGGGCATGTGTTGGATCGGATGCAAAGCTGGATTCATGAGGAACTTCAGTTACAGGGTCTTTCGCATTCGTCTCAGAAGCTACATGGTCACTTGCTGAGTGCAGGAGCTCGGCATTGGGTGGGATGGCAAGATTGGGTACTCCCACTCGTGGCTCAGGTTGGTTGTCTTTGTACACGGCTTGAGTTCTCAGGTGGTTCGCACCAGTCGGCCCTGGTCCTACAGTTTGCAACACAAATTCCTTGGTCAGGGTTTGTGACTTGGCATGCATGAAACCCTCATGTGTGCGAAACAAGCCATGAACAGGTGACCACAACTGCCAAGCTTCTTTGTGCAGGGACTGTTCTAACTCTTTTGCATGAATCATGAAGTCCTGAGTGAGTAAATGGTCCTTTCTCAACAAAACCTTTCCCTTGGACAACTTGCGGAGGGAGCAATTGTCAGCAGTAATACGGGATTGGTGGAAGGATTGAAACAGAGTGTCCATATTCCCATCCAAGAGTCCTAGTGCAGTACTCAAATTCCCCAAGACCAAAAGTGCATGCGGTATGGCAATCATGTTTCCAAGGTGGTGTCATGCTTGTTTCAAGTCCCCATCAATGTAAACTTTGTTGCATGAACCGTGAAGGATTGCAATTTCGGCCGGGTGCAAAAACCTGCATTGGTATGGGACATCAGGATCCTGTACAAAGTGCGCAAGGTAACCATGTTTTTTCAGGAAATCTCGATTCATGTGATGTTGCTGTCCATACAAGGCCATGATTGTCGGGAAAACATCTGTTGGTCTGTAGATTCTCTTAGAGAAAATCACATCTGGCGATGGCAACTGCGACAACGTTGTCTTCAGGAAAGCTGGACTGCTGGCAAGCTCAGCAATGTTTGCATCAATGACCAAGGCATTCTTGTCTTCCCTAGAAAAAGGCAAGGTGATGGCAGGCCAATCTGGTTCCCTGGCGGGCCACATGGTAAAAGGTATCATTGGCACCTGATCAGCGGTTCTTTTTGCTAAACCTAGCCACCTCAATCTCGCAGTCTGTGCATGCCCTGTGAGATTGCACACTTTTTGCCACATCAACCGAAAACCCACCATGTGAAGCGACTTCATGATCCAATGCTTGTGCTCATGGTTATTGAAATTACTGACTTGTTCAATGGCTATGTACATCGGTCGTATCCACCTGCAAGCAAGAATGGTTTGTAGGAGCAGTTTGGCTCCAGGCTTCAACAATCCCTGAGCAGTTCCTGCAGAAGACCAATCTGGGCATGGTGATGAAATTGTAACCAAGTGCGGTTGCCAGAACGTGCATGGACCAAGAATGCTATCATTCAAAACGTCCTGTTGCCAAATCCAATTCTCATGATTCTGCACAAACCAATCATTGGGGATGTTCACATGTGGGCCCATCCAGTTGGCATAATGTGATATTGCATAGGCCTTGGAAGCCCTTTCATCCATTTCGATTCCCACTGTCTGCGATTTGACCCCTTGCTTGGAAAGGACCTCAAGTGCTCCCTTCCATCCTCCATAGGCCCCTGCGAAAAACTCCAGGCATCTCAACGGTTGATGGTCAATGGTTGGTGTGGGCGCCAACATCCAGGATGATTTGTCATCATACAGGTAAGCTAAATCCCAAACCCCTCTAACCATGTTCACCTCTTTGACCCCCAGAACCCATATCAGTTGACCAGAAGGAGGAATCGTTGTGTTGACGTCCCAAATCATTTGATCTTTACCACTGATGACAGTTGAAGTCGGAATTTCCAAAATGTCAATCATGAAGTAATCAAATCCAAACCCCTCTGGTGAATGTCTTTGTATCTCCAAGACCATGTCATTCTCGTTGAACCATCGATCAGTGACTTCAATCAATAAATTGCATCTTGAAGGAGCGAATTGGCATCCCTTGGCACCCAATATGTCCACCTTGAGGAGATCATCCTTCAAATTGTCAGAAAGGAATTGGTATGCCATGGCTACTTCCGCCCATCAACCAAAGCGACAGGACAAGGTTGCCTCGCGAAGGCAGAGCCAAAACCTTCGCTATAATTTACCCAGACAGTTGGTTGATGATTAATCTGGGGTATTATACTGTAAACCCATGAGCCCGGAATCTCTTGTAAACAAGCGCATAAAACCACCGTGATGAGTCAACTGTCAATACCATGATATCCCTATTCACCAAAAAGTCCGCATGTTTACTGGATAAATCCATCACATTTCCATGTTGGTTTTTGGCACTACTCTAAGGGGGTTGAAATAAACCCCGGCCCCTCTCAAGATGAACACCATATATAACCAACCATATGGTTTTTGTTTTAAAATGTCCCAAAAGAAAAGAAACATTCCATCATATCAATGGGAATTTCAGGATCCTAAAATTGAGGTACTGTACCATATAAGGCCATATTTTGCTGAGATATTCCCTTACATAGGCCTTATATATGGTAGGTACCTCCAATTTAGGTTCCTGAAATGGCCATTGATCATATTTCAAAAAACTATCATGTCTTTTGAATTGGTAAATCCAACTTGTTCTGAGTCACATCCTTGTGATTCATGGTTAAAGGCCAACTTTTCTCCATGCCCTCCGGTAATTTAACATAGCTATGTTAAAAATTGTCATTTATAGTTGATTTACCCAGTAAAAAGGGTGATTTTCCATAGTTATGTTAGTTTACCAGAGGGTACTTTCTTCTGCTCAGGTCTTTTTCAAACAACTGGAAAACATCCACGACCAAGGCACTTCTCTTGGTCTTCGGGCGCTTGTCCTGGGTCATTGGGTAGACCACATGGTGATCTTGGACAAGCTATGACATGGTTAACCGTAGATATCCTCCTCTTCCCAGCTGCAAAGCCGGTACTGGATTCAAATCTTCAAAATTAAGGTTGATGGGGTCTGATTTTTCATCATAGGTAGTCTGAGATACCATGACATAGTTGAACAAAATAACAAATATGTTTTAGTATATTGCCTATTTAGAAACTACGGTATATTTGAACAACTGCAATGGTATAAAATCATCACACATTTTATGATGATATATTTTCGAATAAATCAGATCATGACAGATTCCATGATTGTGACATATCGCAGTATTTGGGGGCTAAAACGCAGGTGAATATGTGTAAGCAATGATCGCGTGCTTACAATATCTATAATATAAACAACATTGATTAAAGATCAGCCCTGGGTGCATCCTCTAAACAACTGCCCGGTGAAACGGGAAAACATCACCAGCTGCCTACTTGAATTTGCCACGTTCAAGGATCTTCCTGACACGCATCATATGAGATAAAGGGTGGCAAAAACACTCCCTTCGCTACATAACTATCTGACCAGTGACTCATGACAATATGCAATTATAAAAAACAATATATGTATATATATATATACATAAAAACGCTGAAATACACAGGCACACATCATGTTCACATGAACATGTGCAAACATGTAGCACCAAGTAATAAGTATCTTGCAACTATCTTCACCCATCATTGCATACTGCATGAAGAAACAAGTACAACAGAAAAGATACACGATTCAATGGCTTGAACCCCCAAAGGGTTTACACTCTTAATTCTGACAGCGTTGTCTTGAAATTATGGTATTCTTAAGACCCACATGTTTATCAAATGGAATGGGATGAACATCCACTTAACAGCTATTTTGGGGTTCACCAAGTACCAGGGTTTTGACCCATAGTCAAATAACAAAATGTTGAATTCCGAACCATAGAAGAAATGTTACTGGAATATGTTAGTTATGAATCTTAAATAACTTTTCTGTTGTCTGGACTAAAATTCACCAAAAAGTTGAATAACAAATGGTTTTTCTGTTGATTCCTGTGTCCGGACCGAAGAGTCAACTGGAAAGTCCCCACCTCTTCGACTCGCTCGCGCGATCTCGAGGAGCGATTTTGTGGAAGAGGAGGGCCCTGGACCGTTGATGCTGCTGGCCCTCCAGTCATCAAACATGGCAATGAAACAAAACACCAATTTAACCGGGTCCCTGTTCAACAATTTGGATTCATTTTGCATCTGTTTTTTTGCCATTCAAGAAGATTTGAAATATTGGCTCAAACATGACGCCACTTCTATAATGGGAAAATCGCCTATAGAAATAAATGTCCATGAAGGATTGCCCATTGCCATGTTGGAACCAAAGAGTAAAGCCCCCACGAGTGGCCAAAAGAACTGGGGATTTAGCTTGCAACAAACAGAGGACACACATCTTGATTTCATCAAACATTTGGATGCGTTTGAATGGCAGAAATCACCAAGTGAACCATGAAAGCAGGCCAGGGCCTCATCATCAACCTCATCATCATTTTATCTTCTATCATGGTCAATCTTTGATAGTTCAAAAACACTGAATCTTTTGCTGCTCATAGTTATTTTTCATTTATAGAAAAAAACAACAGATTTTCCACTACCCATCCAGACAGTTGGGGATGCTATTTGGAGCGCTAACTGTCACCCCAGTGCCCAGGGAGCGCAGCGCACAGCGCACAGCTGGCGCCCAGCCTTCGCAGGCGGCTCCGCCTTACGCTTTGGTGCACGCCGCGGTGCCTAAGAGGTCATGGGAGGTGGGGAGATACTGGTTCTTGGGTAGATATATCTAAATACCCTCTGGTAAACGTTTACATAACTATGGAAAATCACGATTTTCAATGGGTAAATCCACTATTTCAATGGTCATTTTCAATAGCCATGTTAAATTACCAGAGGGTATTTTTTTTTCGTCCCGTGTGATTTCATATGTTTAAGTGGAAATTGCAAATGATGGGAAGAATTCGTTTAGGGATATCATTGAGAAAAAATGCAACATGCTGTTGTTTGCGGCACATACTAGGAAATAGCAACGACCAATGGGATGCAGTAGGGGGATTCATGATGTCATGGTGGTTTACAAATGGTATGGCTCTGAAAATGGGGTACATCCCAATTTTGGTGAGTTTAACTTTTTGTCTAACAGGAAACATATTAATTATTGACTATTGGAATTTTGAGGCACTTTACTTTTAAACAAAGCTAGTCTGAACGGTGGTTTTAACCATCTTGAAAAATATGAGTCAATTGGGATGATTATTCCCAATATATGGAAAATAACAAACCTTCCGAACCACCAACCGGTAGTTCTTTTTGATGGGAAGTTTCATAGCAACTTTGTATCAGGTCAACGTTGAAGAGTCCACACGGGAAAATTCACAGGAAACTGCCGGTTGTTTTCATCGCCATAGCTATCCTGGTATCCCTCTTATATGTTATAATCATCCACAAGAAGTTGGGTTCATAACCACCTATATTGACCAATCAACCATAATTTATTAGTGTTAGCATATGGAGATTTCCTGAAATATGGGTACCCCTAAATCATCCATTTTATAGATGGAGTTTCCCTTATAAACAATCCATTTTGGGGTACCCCCATTTCAGGAAACCACCGTATCTGCAAATTCGCGTTGGGCAACACGGTAACACTAACGTGCCAAATGATGGCTAAATCCGAATATTTTGTTGCTGAAATCACCACATAAAAAGGCTGGGTCTCCAGCTACTTTTTCTACGTTTTCTCGGATGTTTGCTGACACAGAACCGTTCTTCTGCTGGTCAGTTGATGAGCAGTCTTGCAGTCCTTCCTGGTTTGCTGCGATGCGAGATCCTAGAGACAGCGTTGCCAAAAACATACCAACACCATACTCGACAGGATCAATCCACAATACAGAAAACCATAGACGATGGAGTCCTCCAACTGCATCGCGAGCTGCTCCGAGCGAAGGAGGCTGTCATCCTGCCCTGGTAAAGCAGATGCACAAGAGTTCCATCTGTATGACGTTGCGGCCCCTTCCACAATTCTATTTTCTGATGGGGCTCAAATAGCAACACTGTTGATCTAAGTTCCAAAGACCTCCCCGTCTCGACGAGCTTGGAATCTTATGCTCCGGCAAGGCATATTGCGCAAGAGTTCCATCTGTATAAAGTTTGGGCGGCATGTTGCGCAAGCGTTGCCTCGGATCAAGTTTGGGCCCCATTCACAATTATAAGTTTTGATGGGGCTCAAATCAACACACATTTTTTTCGAGTTTTGAATGGCATGCTCTCGTAAAGCACTTAGCGTTCCATCTGTATGAAGCTTGGGCTCCATTCAAAATTATAATTTTTAATGGAGCTCAAATCAACACACTGTTGATCTACGTTCCAAAGACCGCTGGACCAGGCATCTCGACGAACCCATGATGTTATTCTCTCGTAAGGCATGTTGCGCAATCATTTCATCGGTATCAAGTCTAGGCGCTCTCCTAAAGCACATAGCGTTCCATCTGTATGAAGCTTGGGCCCCATCCAAAATTATAATTTTTGATGGGGATCAAATCAGGATCAGTTCCAAAGACCTCTGGACCAGGCGTTTCGCTGAGCTTGGAATGTTATGCTCCCGCAAGCATATTGCGCAAGAGTTCCATCTGTATAAAGTTTGGGCGGCATGTTGCGCAAGCGTTCCATCGGTATCAATTTAAAACCCATACTTTGACGCTTACACCCACATTGGAAACCATTATTGGGCACTTCTATGGTATGTCATACCAACATTCACCATAATTTGGTCGACTTCGTCAATACTCATATTTGGATGGTTAAATCCTCACCAAACGGTTGTTTTAAATATTGATTTATTGTATACTAAGGGTTAAAACCCATCAAACCCCTGCTGATTGGATATTTACGGGTGGTTCAAGATTTAATCTGAATTGTCAACGTTATTTCCCTATACGGTATATAACTACCAGTATCTACCAGTAAATTGTCTTGGTATAAACATGTATACACCCTATAATTCTGGCTAAATTTGATCAATGGGTTGGTTTGTGAAGGGAAAATCAACAGGAAATGTTCTTCCATGAAACATGAGGTTTTCCTGGAAGTTTTCCGTTACACCAATCCCATGAGTATACTCATTCCCCAAGAGTTAAATTGGAGTTATAAACCATCAACTTAGCTATCATAAATCAGCTATAAATCCCATGAAATCCCCATTTTCCTCAAGCTTTCTTATGATTTTTACTCTGGGGCACCACCTCTTGGGCCGCATCCCCAACAACAAACGACGCCTTTCCCCGCCTTCGCTGCTTCCGGCGCCGGAACGACTGGCGCTGGTGCTGAGCGGAGTTGGCGGTCCTGGAGGATTGGGTCCGGGGTGACGAAAAACTGTGGAAAACCCATGGGGAAACTTTAGGAACATATCTGCAAATGGTAGTTTTAATATTGAAATGGTGATTTTTTCCATTGAGTTGGTGATTTTTTATCATTGAGATGGCTAATGGTAAATAGTGATGGGAAAACACATACTATTTACTACCTTTTATGATTTACTAGCAGTGAGGCCATGGACTTTGTTTTATCTAGTTGATTAAGTTCGGTAAAAAAAAACTTGTTTGATAATCCACGCTTATATGGTAAATATTCCAGTTATTAACTAACCACTTAACTAACTCCATGGCATAGCAAGGTGAGGCCCAGTTATGTGAATGTTGGTTTTTAACCCCTAATCAACCCAACAGTTCACCAAGATATGTGCGTCAACTTAGTTAACTAGGGGGTCTCACCTATGTTATCATTCATTCTCAACGATTTGTCAGACTCTTAACCACTATTAACCTGCTATTCACGATTAAATACCATTATATCCCCCTAATATTGCCGCAACAGATTTCCCCAGTCGTCAGGAAATATGGCAACGACTGCAAGTCAACTTGCGGAAACGGAGCTTCCCGAAAGTGCAAGGGCAATAATCCGGCACAAGAACTCATCAACGACTCCACAAATAACAGCGTCTGCTGTTGCCATCTGCGAAGCAATGCCTTTGCCTCAGAGGTCTCTTGTCGCAGCACTCGCTTCAGCCATGCTTGCGACGTGCGGTTCACAAAGTGGAGGACAATGTGAGGGTGACATGCAAGACGTGTTTGTTCTTCGATTGGCCCATGGACGTGTTGGTCGGTTGCCCGGGCTGCTGCGGCTGTGAGCGGGCAGACTGCTGCCAGCCCGGCGCTCCATTCCATGGGCTGCCAGCCGGCCATTTTTGCCGTCTTGAGGAGCGCGCAGTTGTCGGAGAAAACACCGACATGGCTGGAGCTGGCGCAAGGGCGTTTCCTGTTTCTAGCGCGGTCGTGATCGCCCTGTTGAACAGTCCCTGGAACTGCCAGTTCTCGCTCAAATGTCCGCCCACCACCTGAGTGTCTCCCATCTTTGAGAAGTACAAGTCACTGCGTCAACGCGGCAAATGATAGCAATTTGCAAATCCAATAATTGTGTTTGGAAAGGCTCGCAACCGAGCTCGATGAGGTTTCAAGGCCTGCGAGTTCATGGCGTCTGTAAAACAAATATATCTTATCTGGTTGGTGGTTTCAGCCCCACTGAAAAATATGAAAGTCAATGGGAAGGATGACATCCCATATATGAAATGGAAAAATAATCCAAATGTTCCAAGGCACCAACCAGTAACCATCATTAATAACCATCATTAATAGCCATCATGAACCATTAATAACCTTCAATAACCATAACTAAGTTCCAAACCACCAACCAGTTATACTTATACCAGCCAGTTGTAACAGACGTTACAAAGTGGGCCCCCCTTAGAAGGTGCTCATCACATCGGAGCTGAACCGCGGCAGCTGCCCCTCAAGAGGTGATCTTATACCAGGGCCAGTCCCCTCGAGTAAACTACTGTAGATGGAAGAAATCCACCACCTAATGGATGATTGAAGCCCTGTAAATAATTGGATAAACATGGATAGACCACCTATCAACTGGTGCAGGATTTCGCTGGCCCATCCACCGTATGATATGGAAAAGCCATGGGCTTTCGCAATGAACATGATCTACAAGTGTAGATGTGAATTTGCTGGAGGATAATTCCAAGTGCAATATGGTGGGGATGTATGTGTATATATATATATGTATACGTATATGTGTATGTAAATATATATATATATTTATTTATTTATTCATATCCCCATGGCCGGTAATATCCCATGCCTGGCATACAATCTCTATGAATGAAATCATGAACATCCCAAAAAATGAAGTTATCTCGGTCGACTGGTACATCATCGAACCTTTCATTGTAGTTGTATATACATAAATATATATATATATACACACCACTATAATGTCCATGAATATCGCACCAAATCCGTATTTGTGTATGTCAATGGACATTTTTTGGATGCATCTTGGTATATGCCTAAGTTTTTATGGACATAATCTCTTTTATATCATCTTAATGGACTTGGTATGTACATATTCCGTAGTATTTTCAATATTATTATAGTATATCACAGTATCTGCTCATATACAAACATCCAATAACAGTTTATCATGTTCAACCCTCTGGTAATTCAACATAGCTATGGAAAATCACCATGCTATTAATGGGACAATCAACTATTTCTATGGCCGTTTTCAATAGCTATGTCACAAATTACCAGAGGGTATCCATTAATATCCCACTAAATCACTACTAATGGATACCACGAGTATGGTTTTATCAACTGGGTTATTAAGAGTGACATAATGATATGTATCATTACTTTTTCTAATCATTGTCGCTTGTTTTATGTTAACATCCCAAGTGACAATGGCGATGCAGGGCTCCGCTCGGCTCCTTGGCATCGAGTGACTCCTCTCGTTCCTCGCTGAAGAGGGAGACGCTAAGTCGCGATATCATGGGGAAATCAGAAATTCCATGATAATCATTGGATATTTCAAAGCGACTGGTGAAATCTTTGATTATCTCATGCTCATCGGAAATTCCATCTACAATTGGTATATCATGGGGATAATCCATGATAATTTTATATGATATACCGATATACATTTTTTTTGAACCGATTGGTTTTTTATTGATTGTAATGGTATAATGTGGTTAAAACAAGAATAAACCATTCCGCAACTCACTATTTTTAAAGGTGGGATAACCTAACCATTCCCAGTCACGGGTGGTTGATGACATTGTTTTAACCACATAAAAATAATAACACGGATGAGTAAATTTCATATTCTATAAATAGTAAGTTGGTTTAGACGCTAAATTCTAAAAAGTAGCTTAACCGGTTTTTGGAATATATTGAATATACTGGTTGATGAGGACATATATATATATATATTTGTCATGAATTCAATCCGTATTTGGTTTCCTTTTGCCAAACTCCTGACATATATATATATATGTTTAGGAGCTACGGTCATATGAGCACTGTTCAAAATCTCTCTATCATTCCATTATACTGGTTGGTTAAGAACGGGATTCCGCTGTTGGAGTATTGTAATCTCCAATTTTTTTGAAGGCTTTTGTTGTTCATCCCCCAACTAAACATCAACCAACAGGAGTAGATCGCAGCCACTGCTCATAGAACTGTAGTTGCTGCGTTTTGTTTTTCGCCAACTTATAACTGGGGGCCCCCCGTCTTCTAGGAGAGGCAGCTGTACCCTTTTGGTTCCATGTAGCATAGCAGTATATACTGATTGGTGGTATACCTACCTCTCTGATTGGTGATTTACCTACCCCTCTGAAAAATATGAGTTTGTCAGTTGGGATGAGGAAATTCCCAGTATATGGAAAAACATGTTCCAAACCACCAATCAGTATAGCAATGGAACCGAAAGTAAATGGCTTTGGATATGTGAAAGCCATCTAACCATACGTGTCTATAAACCATACCCAGCAAATCACTTTATGAACATATATTGAATTATATGACTTGTCTGTAGATATACGATACCAAATCCAATGAATCTCATGGTTCATCATCATTTTCCAAAAATGAACATTATCTTCAGATATATGTTGCACATGTGCAACATTGTTGCACTAATTTTGTGTGAACTAAGGTTCTTGGGATGCTAATATAGACTGCGTCGTCCCACCAGAAACTTCAGTTGTAAGGGGCCTGAAGTTTCTCAGTTTCTGACCGCTTTCTCCCTTCGGGAGTGAAAGCGTATGGTCTCCACAGTGTGGACTGAGTTTGTTCACAAGTAGGCTAGCTAGGATTTAAAGGGTAGATAAAACACTGTAGTTCCAAACAGCAGAAAGCTGTTGGGTTTCAATCTCTAGAAGCAGCGGGTGGTATCGCGTTCGTCTTTCCTCTGGCATGTATGCGCAAGGTTCCGGAAACCTTGAAACCTTGTCTGCCACATTGTCCCCCACCTGCTCTCCCACCTTTTCTGCCTCTATGTCTTAATTTTCCCCCACTTTATCTCCCACTTTGTCCCCCACCTCGTCTCCCACTTTGTGTCCCACAGTGTCTCCTACATTGTCTCGCACTGTGTATCGCCTTTGGTCCTCCTCTTGGTCCCCTGCTTTGTCTCCGACTTTGTCTTCCTCTTTGTCTAACACTTTGTCTCCCAATGTGTCTTCGACTTTGTCCCCCACTCTGTCTACCAGCTTGTGTCCCACTTTCGCAGCCACCTCATCTGTCACCATGTCACCAACTTTGTCTCTCACTTTGTCTCCCACTTCACAAAAGTAGGAACGAGTTTCCTGTTGGAGTTTTCTTTGAGCTTGTAGGCTTTCCTCTCTTTCTTGCTGCCTCAGTCCACAGGTTCCAAAGTGGGCAATCGCAAACGTAATTATGTTGCAAAAACGGGTATCTGTCACCTTTACATGTTGAACTTCAATTAGTCTGAATAATTTCCAATAGACTGAACCCCACTTTGATCCAGATTGAACCGCTGTAATAAACAACAGATCTGGAAAATGTCCAATGAACCTGAAGCCTCGCCTACTTGACCCACAATTTCAATGTCCATTTCAGGAACCGATTAATTGGAGGTACCTACCATATATAAGGCCTATTTTTGAAGCCTATGTAAGGGAATATCCCCACAAAATATGGTCTTATATGGTACAGTACCTCCATTTTTAGGATCCTGAACTTCCCATTGATAATTCGTTTGTTCCTTCAAAATCATCATCTATGACTGGTTGGTGGTATACCTACCCCTCTGAAAAATATGAGTTCGTCAATGGGAAGGATCATCCCATGTATGAAATGGACAATAAAACATGTTTGAAACCACCAACCAGATGAGGTGTTTGGTCAGCCATTGCCACTCTGAATTCTCCAGATCTTTGATGGGTCAGATGATCCCATTTCTGTAGGCTTGTGGGTCAAGAAAGTCATCCGGTGATGAATCCCCTTAGTTTGATGGCCAATGTTGCTAAATCCTCAGACTGTCCAATGTTTCTTGATATAATCGCCATTTTTGGTGATGAAATGACTACATCACATGGGCTTGTCTGAAAATAGGGAATCCCTAAGTCTGTTGGTCTATCTTCATGTTAACAACATTGGAATGGCCGTTTGGGGCTATTATTCCATGTGAAAATACACAATAATAAACTTTTAATAGACCCACATCTCATAATATTGCTGAACATATCCAATTATATCCCATTCTTCCCGGTTAAATCCCCATTATCGGTGGTTTTGCCATGCAATTTCACATCCTTATGATCTTCCAAACTCAAATTCCCAGATGTGCTGCTTAGCCACTGTCTTCCCCTCTCCTCAAACGGTCGATTCTGGGATTTCGATCTAAACCCGCCGTGCACTTACGTACAAGTGGATTTATACAATGGCCCCCCCCCCCAGTTACAAGTTGGTTTATAAACCCCATGAATACTATAGGTAAAACCAATTCAGCTATCTAGGGGGCCCCACATTGTAGGGGTATCAATGTATCAATGACACTTTTCAAGACCCTGGGGGACCAATGGAGACTAGTAAGAAAGTATATTATATATATAATATGTGCAAAAAAACAGTGTGACTCTTCATATTTTCTCTATTGGTGTTTTTTTAATCATATGATTATGTATGATTATGTATACTGTATACTTGTAAAAACGTTCAAAACGGATCTGCTCAACCAAACGCGTGCTAAAAAAACACTTCACCTGGAAAACCACATGATTCGGCCAGGCACTTTGATGAACAAATCCAAGTCGGCTAGATTTTCCTCAATCGAACTGTGCCAAAAAAATCATAAAATGGAACGGATCTAAGTTGATTTGTACGATGATTTCAATGGACGAATCATCAATCCAATGTACTTACAGTGAGTCAAAATGGAACAGTGGTAACTGCTGATGACCTGGCAAAGATCAATCGTGCAAGGTCGGCCGGCGAAAAGCAGCATATCAAGTTCTCTACAAAGTGGGGCCCCCCAGTTATAAGTTGGTTTATAAAACCCCATTAACTATAGGGCTGGGTTCAAAGAAAGGGGGAAGGAAAAATATGCCAATTGTGCCACGGTCAAAAGATTGATTGCATGCCCATATTGAGGGATGGTGATCAATCCATTCATACAATCTGGGGCCCCCTAGATAGCTACGTTGTTTTATACCTTCAATAGCTATGATTTATGATACTATAACTATACGCATACAGGTGTAAATTCATTGACGTCTGGCTGGACAGACCAATTTTCTATCATCTGGCAGAGTCGCGGCAGTAGAACCTTGCACCACAGTGACACAAGAGACCGGAAATAGGAAACATGACTTTCGAGCCGGGTGGACCACAGCAACATCCACCACCAGGCTGACTCCTATTGACGGCGTCTCTTGAAAAGAGGTGTCACTTCTGACCAACCAGGTCCAAGGTTGGCTTGAGTGACCACAGGAGGCGATCCATCTGGGGTCCCAACTTCCTGAACATCCATGTTTCGACTCGGGGTCAAAGGGCGTTCCAGATTTGCTGCAACTGAAGAATCGAGCTGCTCGCCAATCATGGACGCTGCCATGTCCACTGCTACCAACCGCAGCTCCCTTCCTTTAAGTGCCAAATCCCCAGTAAATCCCCAATAGATACCCGATCAACCATCACGTATTAGTTATATCCCCATATTTGTTTCATGGTTAAAATTCCCATACAGGCATTATACTTCATGGTTAATTTCCATGGAATTCTCATTTTATGGATAATTGGCTCATATAGATTGACCATGATTTAACCATTGATGGCCAATTAAAAAAGGACACTTATTAATTCATGGTTATTATCAATTCTTAGTGATTAATTCTATTATAATTGGCAATTTAAACAATTTAGTTAAATTATAATAGAACTAATAACAAATAATTAGTGATTTATGGTTATTTATGATTATATCATCGATCATCAATCACTAATTAACAATTGATTATTACACATGGAGAATTCACGACGAATCCACGGGAGTATTATTCATTTTCTCTCCAATAAACTAACATAGCCATCGAAAATGGACCATTTAGTGCGTTGATGTACTAAAAATATTTGATTGTCATTGATTTTCCATACAGTGTGGTACCCCACCAGTTATAGTTGGTTTATCACCCCATCAGTTGTAAGTTGGTTTATCACCCCATCAACCATAGATATATCGACCATAAGTCCTAGCAATTGGAATTAAAAACCAACTTAGCTATCGAACTGGGGCGCCACTTTGTATGTTAGTTTACCAACAGGCTACAAGTTGAGGTATTTGCCTCACATGGATTACAGTAACCAATGGATTCCAACATAAAACAATTCGGCAAACTTTCTACACCACAACGGATTCAGACGAGAACATTATCCATTTACCCTCTGGTTATGACTAACAGTTTGCCATGGATAGATTCGCTCTTTTTTAATAGGTAAACCATCTATTTCTATGGGCCATCTATACCATGGCTATGTGACAAATAACCAGAGGGTAATTTCTTCAATTCCCATTGATTCATTGTTAAACTAACAGTCAACAAGCTGGAAATTTATCCATTTTAGAGCAGGTAAATAACCATAGCTATGTTAGTTTAAGCCATGTTGAATAATGTTAGCTTACCCAATGTTTCATACCCCGTCAACACCTCCCCAGCTGCCCACTCCTGGTGGAGTTTCTTCTCCTCCTGGAGCGTCAACTCCCGGTCCAGCAGCAACTTCTCGCGCGCGTGAAAGGAGTGCTCCCGGTCCTTTTGCAGAACCCTGTGAAAATGAGGAGTTAACCAATACAATTGTGGATTTAGGCTGCGGGAACACAGGTATACAACGATTTGATCAGAGATTATGAGGAGATTACATGGGACCTTAAAGAATATAGATGATAAATCAAATAGACATGCTGGTTCCACCCGACGAACACCAGGGATCAAAGGGATTGCTGGAGTTTAGGCCATACTATCTGGCAGCCTTGTGAGCTTCGCGCGCACCGGGTCTCAGGCGGGATCAATCGGGACGGCACTCGCAGTTGGTCGCTGGGTAATAAGCCGCGTGACCCACCGAGACTTGTAAGGACCTCTTTTCCACAGCGCCTTCGTAGAAGTTACTCTCATGCCTTTGCGCCTTCGGGAAGGTAACTTCGGGGCCTGGGATCGAGAGCGCCCTCCGTGGCCGTCCTTACTCGTCAACGTGGTGAAGGTGCATAAGTCCCAGGGCGAGTGGGCTTGTGCTGTCTTCTGCGGGAGAATCTGCCCCACTCTCTTTGGCCTGGCTTTCTATATTCTCATCCATGCTTGTTGTTTGTTTGCTTGCTTGTTTGTTTGCTTGCTTGCCTGCTTGTTCGCTGTATGTTCGTCTGTCTTTATGTTTGTCAGTTATTGGTGGTGTTTCTAGTTGTGGGCGGATTGATCATCAACCAACGTGGGGAAATAGGACAACTATTGGAACTAGACATATTGGCGAAGCTTGTCACTGTTACACATGTATACTTTACAATGGTTATACCCATAACCCCCAAACAAAACCTAGGAATTGACAAAGGTTCTATTCAACATTCTATATATGTACATATATATATATATCAGCAAGTCTCCTTCTGTCGCCGCCCTCACTGGCACATCGCCTAAAATCCCAACGGTTTGATGCTTAAGAACCACCATTTCTTATCACATCCCTCCGGTGAACATACAGTAAACCTTGGCAACTAGTGGTTGGAAGACTCTTTTCCGCTTAAACATTGGCTCTTCACATTTGGTTGAATTCAACCGCTTAAACATTAGAAGATCAGGATTTAACCAACAACATATGGTTGAATTTTGTGGCAAATTCAATACCTCAAAAAATCCTTACTGTTGTTGAATCAACACTTTTCTTGGTGAAATCACCATGAATTTCATGGTGACAAAAGTACCACGTGGGAATGATACAAGGTGGTGCCCCCAAGATAGCTAAGTTGGTTTGTAACTCTAATCACTGGGACTTATGATAGATATATCTGTAGTTAATGGGATTAGAAACCAACCTATAACTGGGGGGCACCACTTGTAGTTCCCAAGCATTTATGGTGATTTCCGGGATGATGCATTTCTGGCTTTACCACTTACCACGTTAGGAATTTCAAACATACTGGCTATTACCCATGATAATTTTTACGGTTGAGTTTAATTCACCAGGGTTACCATATGATACCATTACTGGGGATGGTTGAAACCATAACCGAAGGAAGTTTAGAAGTCAAACTTCCGACAATATGGACAGATGGAAAAGCAGAGGTGGCGCAGAAGAATGGATAAGAGAAGAGCAGAAGAGAGAAGATCAGAGAAGAGAAAGAATCAGAAGAAAGAAGATGCAGGTGCGCGAAAAGGTAGGAAAGTCGCGAAACACTTTGTTTTTTCAATGATTTGTGGCCCCAGAAAGTCGAAAAGTAGGCTCGCTAAAGCGGCGGGTGCGGAGCCAGCTGGCCAGATGAGAGATGAAAAATTGCACGCCGTTGTGGCGCGAAGCACATTTCCAAGTCAAGATGTGCAAAGCACCTCAGCTCCGGACCACTTTTGGAGGTTGAGATGTCGAAAAAGTTCACGCCGTTGTGGCGCGAAGCACATTTGCAAGTGAAAAAGCTAAAAGCACCTCAAGTTCGCGCCACTTTTGGAAGTTCCGATGTCGAAAAAGTGCATGCCGTTGTGGCGCGAAGCACATTTCAAAGTCAACATGTTGAAGACAGCACATGTTCGGACCACTTTTTGACGTTCAGATGTCGTTTGGCGTGGCATGCGCAAGGGATTGTGCACCTTCTCAAAAGCGACCAAAACGTGAGGGCTTTGTACCATTTCCAAAAACGATGGAAGCCGTGGGACATTTGAAGAGGATCTGCAAAGATGCAATTCGCGTGGCAGGCGCAGTGCAAAAGACATGTTCATGAGAGATGTTAGGAGGTCAGGGCGCTGATTTCCTGAGAGGGGTTGCATTTTGGAGCATCAGATCTGTAGGTTTGCTGAGATGATTTTGCGTGACAGGTGCAGCACTTCGTATGACCCGGTATCACTTTTTCGTGGCAGGCGAAGTAGCTAAGACAGGTGGAGTCGAAAAATCGCAAAACGCATTGGTACGAGGCTGTCAGCTCTGCACTCAACTTTCCATGTTTGAAGGAAGTCTCGCAGAATGGCTTCGTTTTTTGATGTTTCCAACTTAAAAAATGAGGAAGTCTTGCAGACTTGCTTCGTTTTTGACGTTGTCAAGTGCAAAAATTGAGGAAGTCTTGCTGAAATTGCTACGTTTTTGATGTTGTCAAGTTCAAAAACTGAGGAAGTCTCGCAGAATAGCTTTTCGTTTTCACGCTCGCAGATAGAGAGAGAGAGAGATAGATAGATAAATAGATAGGTAGATAGATAGATAGAAAGAATGATAGATAGACAGATAGGTAGATAGATAGATAGATAAATAGATAGATAGATAGATAGATAGACAATTACAACTGCAACTACAATTACAAGTACCACTACAAAACACTACTACTACAACTACAAGTCATCAGAAATAGCAAATTTTGTCGTCAACCACGGCTGGCAGAAGCACAACATCATGGGGCTGGCAGAGCGAACCTTCGGCACCATCTTCTGCATTCGAGATCTTTCAATTTCTCCACAAACTTGCCCCGTAACTCAAGCAGGGATGCCAGATCGGTGATTTCTGGGCTCCCTTTGTCTACATACCAGGCGCATCTGTGTGCCAGCACGTTTGCTGTTGAGACAGCATGGTCATACAGTGGAAGCCAGTAGGTGGGTTCTTGGTTGGCCTTTGTTTTGAGGTCAAACATGAAGGCCTCCACCACCCTGTGGCGAGTGTCCACGTTGAAACGACGCTACATTACACAACACTAATTACACTACACTACACTAATTACATTTAATTACGCTACGCTACACTAATTACACTACAACTACTACACCAGCCACTACTACTACTGCTGCTACTACTACTACTACTCCTCCTCCTGCTGCTGCTACTACTACTACCACCACCACCACCACCACAGCTACAACTACAATTACAGCTACGTTGCATTACACTACCATACGCTAATTAAACTGCAGCACATTACAGCTACAACTACAACTACAACTACACTACACTACACAACACTGCGCTACATTAATTACATTACATTACACTACAACTGCAACTACCACTACATTGCACTACACGACACTACACTACAACTACAACTACAGTACTTTACACTACAATACACTAGACTACACTACACTATACCACGCTACAGTACACAACACTACAGTACACTACAATACACTACAAAAATTACACCACACCACAACTACAACTGGAACTGCAACTACACTACACTAATTACACTACATTACAACTACAGCTCAAAACTACAACTCCACTACACTACAGCTACAACTACACCTACAACTGCACTACACCACACTACATCCAGCAGTTGTGGTGAGGTGACCACTGCAACCATTGCAGCCACTCCAGAAAACACAACTCCAACCACCTGCCGGTCCATCAGTGGATTCGCTCTGCCATCCCTGATTCACAACAACCAATCTCTCCTATAGGTTTCCTATTTTTGAAACTTGCCACCGCCTTGTGCAGTACGACTGGTAATTAATATCGGGGATGGTGTACCCATTACAATAACCATTCTCCAAATATATATATATATTTCTATAATATGATCTGGGAATATGATTGCTTTTAGCACAATAGCCACACTTAGATGCGCATCCCGCGAATCGGACCCGTGGTTTATCCATAACTCATCCCGTATCATCCAGTGGGGGGTATTCAATGAATCTAACTTGTTTTTCAACCATTTCCTACAATCTGGGGTCCCCCGTTAACGAAATCGCTAGGTTGGTGATCGTAACTTCAATATCTATGGTTAATGATGCGTATAGCATTGTGAAACTACACTATTCATGGGTAAAACAACAAACATACCCTCTGGTAAACTAATATAACTATGGAAAATCATCATTTTTAGTGTGAAAATCTACTATAAATGGGCCATTTTCGATAGCAAACTGTTAGTTTACCAAAGGATAACCTGAGGGGGGGCACACTGTAAGTTGAGCCCGCAGAGCATAGGGCGCCTGTTGGAGCTGCTTCTCTCTCTGCAGCGCTTGTTCACGCTCCAGGAGCTGCTTGTCCTAGGTAACGAGCCACGGCTACCCCAAAATTTTGAGATGTATATAATACATATAGGTTTGATGAGAATATATTTCATATTTCATGGGAAAATCGATGGTTTCTGGTTCAGATTCTCCCTTAAACCAATGATAGAGGAATAAGTATATATAGATATATCTACCATCTATAGATATACCTACTTGGTGGTTTCATCTCTCTCAAAAATATGAAAGTCAGTTGGGATGATGACATTCCCAACTGAATGGAAAATAATCCAAATGTTCCAAACCACCAACCAGATAAACATCCATAAACCACAGTTATGGGAGTTATAAGCCAACTTAGCTAAACATTAATAATGGTATATAATGGATGTATATAATGCATATAGGTTTGATGAGTATATATATTGGTATTTTTGTAGCTTTCCTAAAATGAGAGACACCCCAAATCATGCATAATGGATTGTTTTGAGCATAAGGAAGTCTGGAGCACCTTGATTTTGAGCAACACCAATATTGGTTGGAATATGTATGATATATATATATATATAAATATTATGGTACATATTTGGAATTATGGAATGCATGATCGATTAATGTTGTAAGATTGTAAGATTCATTAGGTTATTTGGAATAACTACTTTGTTTGACACATAATGACTAGGATGACGTTTGGTATTATATGAATACATTTACCAGTATTCAGTTTTTGACTTTGTTGAATTTTAGCTGATTTTATTTGATTTTATCTGGTTGGTGGTATACCTACCCCTCTGAAAAATATAAAAGTCAGTTGGGATGATGAAATTCCCAACTGAATGGAAAAATAACATTCATGTTCCAGGTTTATCCGATTTTGCTAGAAATTTCGTAGAATTTCGTGTTGCCAGTATCTGCCAGTGGTCCTGCCTAGTTTCTTTTTTTAAATAGGTCTTATGATTGGATAGGGGTGTTCATCAAGATGGGGATATCATTGCAAGGTGGTGCCCCAGTTCGATAGCTAAGTTTCGTGCACATAACTCCAATCACTAGGACTTATGATAGATATATCTATAGTTAAGGGGATTAGAAACCAACTTATAACTAGGGGGGCACCACCTTGTGGATATCAGTAATAATCTGCGGATATCTGGTGATTTATAGGGATATGGTCTTCTTGTACCCTCTGGTAAACTAACATAGCTATGGATTCGGAAAACCACCATTATTAATTGTTAAATCACCTATAACATGTTCATTTTTTGTTTCACTACAGATCACGGACCATGCAAGTCTGATCTCCGCTATATGAAACATAAAACGCGAAACAGCAGATACAGGCAACTTCGAGCACAGTTTACATCATACCGCTTGAAAAACATAATTATGCCTCGTCCCAACTAGACCACCACCACATGCCTCGATCTCCCCATGCTGGGGCATCACCTTTGGCGGCGTTATTCACCGGCCACTCGTGCCAACTATTGTTGCTCAGCGCATTGGCCTCTCCACATTTGTAGCAACCCCTTTCTCTGTTGAAGGAGCGCTCAGAGGCCGAGTATTGCCCTTCATAGGCAATCCGCCCAGAAACTCAACGTCACGTTCCAGGAGCATGTGGTTTCCTTCTTTTCCTGAAACATCAACGCCGGTTTTCCATCTCTCCCTTCTTCTCTCCCTTCTTTTCCTTCGTATGGTCGGACATAAGGAAACGTTTCGCCGCCATCAACCAACCTTTGGTTTCCGATCCGACATCCGAAAGGTTCGGTCGTTGTGCAACGCAGCCTGTGAAGTGGCATCACTAATACAAGTAGAGGCCATGATGAAAGTCACGAATGATATGAGCCAAAACCCTGGAGCCAAAGGCCATTTTCAATAGCTATGTTAGTTTACAAGAGGGTAACCATCTCAATCTAAGAGATTTTAACAAGTGACGCATTGGGGACATGATTGACGGTGGGATCCCGCCGGGATTCCACCAGCCCAGCATTTTAGCTGCGCAGCGTTGCTAGCGTTGCTTCTCATTGCAACTGGTGATGCCCTCTGGTAAACCTAACGGTTTGCGACATAGAAAATGGCCCAGTCGAAATAGCTGATGACTACCCATTAAAAGCGGGTGGATTTTCCATCGTTTTTGAGGGTAAATGCTGAATCCATCTTTCAGCTGGAAGCGAGCCAGCATTTCTCTCGTTTGATGCTTCAAAAAGATATTACTGTTCTCAATGGGGTAACCTCCAACTGACATAGCGACAGGGCGAATATGGAAACCATCCGACTGAGAACAGCCAACTACATGATATCCCATTTGTTGTTTCTCAATATCCCATGAAGTCCCAGTTTTGGATTCAGTGACATTCGCAGTATTGATGCCATAAATCCAAACCCATTTTGTGGTTCTTATCACTTTAACGTCAACCCCCGGAGTAACAGACTCTGTGGCTGGTAACCTGGGGCTTGCGACATTCCGAAAACGAAATCATATCACCGGGAGCTCTAGAATCCGATGATATTTCCTGGTGATGTTTTTTTTCGGGGGTCATGTGGGGGTAATGTGATTAATAGTGGGGGATTAATAGTCATTAATAGCCATTATTCACCATTATCTAACACTATTAGATATTTATAATGCCTGTTAATGGCTACTAATGTGGGTAAAAATGTGTCATGGTTACCACCCATGACTGGGAATGGTTAGATTATACCACCTATAAATATGGCGATGACGGGATGGTGCATTTATGAAATTGTTTTACCCACATCAAATCCACAATCTTGATGGTTAAATTGCCAATTTACAACATTTGATGGTGAAATCACAACAATTGATGGCTTACAGCCATCATTTTCCTAAGGTTAAAGCTTAACACTATGTCTGTTTGTCTGAAAATAGAATATCCCAAAATCCATAGGAAATTTAGAAGTCAAACTTCCGACAATATGGACAGATGAAAAGCAGAGATGGGAAGAGTCAGAAAGAAGAGAAGAGAAGAAGAAAGAAGAAAGAGTCAGAAGAAAGGAGATGCAGGTGCGCGAAAAGGTAGGAAAGTCGCAAAACACGGTGTTTTTCCAATGATTTGTGGCTGCGGAGAGTCCAAAAGTAGGCTCGCTAAAGCGGCGGGTGCGGAGCCATCTGGCCAGATGAGAGATGAAAAATTGCACGCCGTTGTGGCGCGAAGCAAATTTCGAAGTCAAAATGTACAAAGCACACCAGCTCCGGACCACTTTCGGAAGTTGATATGTCGAAAAAGTGCGCGCCGTTGTGGCGCGAAGCACATTTCGAAGTCAACATGTACAAAACACCACATGTTCGCGCCACTTTTGGAAGTTGAGATGTTGAAAAGGTGCACGCCGCTGTGGCGCGAAGCACATTTCGAAGTCAAAAGTGCAAAAAACTGAAGGGTACGGAGCACTTTTGGACGTTCAGATGTCGTTTTGCGTGGTAGGCAGAAGGGATTGTGCACCTTGTCAAAAGTGAGCAAAAAGTGACGGTTTTGTAGCATTTCCAAAAACGATGGCAGGCGTGGGACATTGGAAGAGGATCTTCAAAGATGCATTTCGCGTGGCAGGCGCAGTACAAAAGACATGTTCATCAGAGATGTTAGGAGGTCAGGGCGCTGATTTCCTGAGAGGGGTTGCATTTTGGAGCATCAGATCTGTAGGTTTGCTAAGATGATTTTGCGTGACAGGTGCAGCACTTCGTATGGCCTGTCCCCAATTTTTCGTGGCAGGCGAAGTAGTTAAGACAGGTGGAGTCGAAAAATCGCAAAACGCATTGGTACGAGGCCGTCAGCACTGCACTCAACTCTCGATTTTTGAAGGAAGTCTCGCAGAATGGCTTCGTTTTGGATGTTGTCAAGTTCAAAAATTGAGGAAGTCTCGCAGAATTGCTTCGTTTCGGATGTTGTCAAGTTCAAAAATTGAGGAAGTCTCGCAGAATTGCTTCGTTTTTGATGTTGTCAACTTTGAAAAGTGAAGAAGTCTTGCAGAATGGCTTGGTTTTCAACCTTGCAGATAGACAGGTAGATAGACAGGTAGATAGACAGACAGACAGACAGAGAGAGAGAGAGAGAGAGCGAGAGAGATAGATAGATAGATAAATAGATAGATAGATAGATAGACAGACAGATAGATAGATAGATAGGGAGGCAGCTAGATAGCTAGCTAGATAAATAGATAGATAGATAGATAGATAGACAGACAGATAGATAGATAGGTAGACAGACAGACAGATAGATAGATAGATAGATAGATAGGGAGGCAGCTAGATAGCTAGCTAGATAAATAGATAGATAGATAGATAGACAGACAGATAGATAGATAGATAGGGAGGCAGCTAGATAGCTAGCTAGATAAATAGATAGATAGAGAGAAAGAAAGATAGATAGATAGATAGGTAGATAGATAGATAGGTAGATGCATAGATACATAGAATAGAAAGACAGATGGACAGATAGATAGAGGAGACAGCTAGATAGCTAGCAAGCTAGCTAGCTAGATAGATAGCTAGATAGATTGATAGAAAGATAGCTAGAAATATGGATAGTCAGCTAGATAGATAGCTAGATAGAAAGAAAGATAGATAGATAGATAGCTAGATAGATAGATAGACAGATAGGGAGACAGCTAGATAGATAGATAGGTAGAAAGATAGATAGATACATGGAATAGAAAGACAGAGAGACAGATAGATACAGAGACAGCTAGATAGATAGCTATCTAGATAGATAGATAGATTGAAAGAAATATGGATAGTCAGCTAGATAGATAGCTAGATAGAAAGAAAGAAAGAAAGATAGATAGATAGATAGATTTGGAGACAGCTAGATAGATAGATAGATAGATAGATAGATAGATACTCTCTAGGGAACAAACGTATCCACTTTTTTTGTGGAAAATATTTTTTTTTGGATACGTTAGCTGCTGTGAACATAGGCTATGATAAATGCCCTATACTTGAGACATGTTAGTTGAAAATCCAGAATGGACATGTTAGTGAAAAAGTTGTCCCCCCCTCTGGGGGTTCCCGGGAAACTGCCAGAAGA